CCAGTTTTCCCCAAATTTTCAGCCAGATTGGAACACTCTCCGAGTTTTCGCGGAGTTTTTCCTTTTTTGCCGACTCCCTGAATAACCCCATAAGATTTTTGATTATTTTCTTTGTAATTTTTCAGAAATCTCGATCAGTAATTAACCTAGTTCTATTTAAAACAAGTTTTTCTTCTCATACACTGTTTTCAATTTTCAGTGGATGTTTTGGTCGCGCGTTCAGTTCGCGGCACGTAGGAGAGAAGACAGTCGACCACTTTACCGAAGAATTTTCACAAACCGTCGGCTGGACATTGCCCATAAAGGTATATTCTCGATACGATGCTTTTTCATCATCTTCTCGAAGTGTTCACTAAAAAGTTTACTAAAACTCTTGTTTCAGTTATTGTCCGCTCGATTCTTGGATTCTTGGTTTTCAGTACTTCTTATTGTGTAATTAACGCTGGAATCTACTATAAGTAAGCTTGTTTTAATCTCGATGATTTATAATTCATTAAACGTAGATTCGTCCGACCGATTCGCCAAGAAGAGCGAGAACTCCTAGAGCGGGAACTAATCGAGGCCGATAAAGCTGGCTTTGCTTTCAAAAAGTAAGTTATACCCAATCTATTAAAAGAAATATATTAAGATTTTTGTAGATGATTCGCCCATTCTCACGCATCATCGCTTCATTGTCTTCCAAATGGGAAGGACTTTTCTTCATTGGCTTTACCGGTGGAGCTGGTTTCGAGCTCTTTAAGATTTATTTCTCTTTCAATGGTCAGCCAGTTTACAGAATTAAAATTTATTACTTTCACGATACAAAATAGATGTTCATGAAAATTTTCCAGGTGTCGATTACTACAGCGTTCTGAAGAAAAAACAACTGCAAAAGGAACTCGATGCCTTCGAACGACAACTGAAAGATCTGGATACTATCATCGTTACCGGGAAACCGCAAACCTTTTAATTTCTGTTTAGAGTAGTGTATATCTAGGTTATGTTGTAGGTCTCTGTTAAAACGGCTTTTTTGTTATCTCTACACACCCACATCATTATTCATGTTTTTCTTCATTTCATTTTTATTTAAATATTTTTCAATTTCAAAATTAAACAACTTGTATAGCATATAACGAATAACTAAATAATTAGAAATATGTTTCATCAGGGAAGCGGAGCAAGCTGTTGAAGCTGCTGAAACTGTGACCGAAGTTGTCGTTGTTTTTCAGCCAATCTTTCCTGTCGTTCTTCCAAGTCTTGTCTTCTATCCGTCATTTGGTCGGGGCCTGGAGAGGCTCGTCGAGCGACATCTTCTATTAAATTACGGAGTTGGTCGGGAAGCTCTGGTGGCTTCGAGAACTTCTGTCTGACATCCTGTACAGAGTACCGACTTGGAGGACGTGGAATTCCGTTCGGATCACCAACTTCTTCGAGAACATTGTCGAGAACACTTACTGGCGACTTTGGAGATTCCTTGTATTCGTAAAGTGGAACAACTTTCGCAAAATTTGATGAAGTATTAACAATTGGAGAACTAGTTGCGGCAAGTTGTAGAGACTGTGTCAATTGTGATTGTTGAACTGGCAATGGCGGAGGTGGAGGTGGTGATGGAATAGATGATGAATGATATTGCTGAGCAGGTGGAGTTGATGGAGGGACAGAAGATGACTGGAAGTGATGAGCCTGAGGAGTTGGAGGAGCAGAATGACTGGAGTATCCTTGAACAACTGGTGGCTGCATAGCAATCGATTGAGCAACCGACGGTTTTGGTGGAAGACGTGGAGTTCCTCCATTAGTTGGTGTTCCTGCTCCGGAATCAGCCCGCTCCACTCCCTTCTTTCTTCTCTGGATCGTCGGATCCTGAACCATCGCCAACTTCTTCATTGTCACCATAATGTTTGCCAATGCTTTGCAACGACGAAGACTTTGATCAACGGCGACATTCTGATCGCGAATGAACTTTTCTTCTCGAACGACTCGTTCCATATCTCTCTTGATTTGTTGTTCAATCGACATTTGAATCGGTGGGAAGTCGGCTGAAATTATAAAGTTTTTAAAGAATATATTTACTTTTTTTTTACTTTTCAGGGTCGCAGCAAGTCTGCCAATATTAGTCAGTTTTTCGGTCATATCTTCCACTTCGCTCATTCGTAATTTCTTCTGATTTGATAGAACACATCCTCTCACTGCCTCTACGTTGGTTTCGAAGCTTCTGGAATTTGAGGTTCATTACAAAAACTACAAGATAAATTTATAACTAGGCCATTAGTACATCTACAGTAACCCTACTCACGTGAGAGAATGAAGTAGGTCAGCAAGTCGGCTCGCGTGCTCATTTCGTTCAGTTTCTGTATTTTTATCCAATTCGTCTCTTCCTCGATTCGGTATTTCCATCATCGCAGTTACAGTACCCCCTCTCATTTTCTCGGCAACCAATCTTCCGATTTTGTCTCCAGCTTCTCTGAGCAAAGTGTTCCCAGTTTGAGCATCAACCTGAATCATAAAATCTCATTTTCAAGGAATATTAGTTTTTGAAAAACCTGTGCAGAACTTTTGAGTTGTTTCAACTCATTGTGAGTTTCTTTAAGCTTGTTACGAAGTAGGGAAAGCTGATAAGCGGTGTGAGAAGTAATGGAATCGGATAGAGAAGATGCGGGTTCTTCAGATGATTCTCGAGCACTGTCAGGATGCATGGATAGGATCTGGAGTGATATTGGGGGATATTAAATGTTCAAGCTGTTGGGATTTCAGTGCAATAAGTTCTAGTTTCAATAGTTACCTCTCTTCTGAGTTCAGCCATATCTCTTTGCGTTGTCTCACTCATTCCTTTACTGACAAGAGCGGTGTGAACAAGATTGGATAGGCCAGCAAGCTGTCTCTCCATAGTTTCCATTCTCACTCTGAACATCAAAACATTTAGATGCATTTATTTCAAAAATAGTCTTACATGGATTCCCTGTCAATTACCGGCGTCGCTGATCCAGATCTCGTAACACTTCTACTGTCATGACTGCTTGTATCAGAATTATAGGGATCAGAATAAATATCATAAACTGCTGGTTTCTGTACTATGTTTCTGTGCATATAATCCACACTTGGAGCTGCCATTGCAGACGCTGGCCTCAACATTGGCATCATTCCACGTCTTCCATCATCTTGTTCGGTTTCCGAATGATAATCCGGTTGATCCAAATAAGCAACAGGAGACATTACACGAGTTTTCTCTCTTAATCGAAGAACCGACTTGTTTTTAATGTCTCCTGGATCTTCGAGTTCGTAGAATAGAGCCCCTTTAGTCGGCTCCTGAATGTAGATCTTGACGTGTGGTTGCTCTACGAAGGCTCTGTTCACATTGGGGAATGTTCGAACGAATGCCATTTTGACTTGATGCATGGAATGCATATTTCTAGGCAAAAGAGTTCGTTTAACTTCATCGTTTGCTTGCAGAAAAACAACATTCATATCATCCAAGTGTCTTGCTGCTTGGGAATCTGAGGTTCTGAAAGACATATTATTTTTAAATTGAATGGAAATCGAAACTAACAAATGGGAGTCTGTTCTGCTGACTGTATCAAATCTCTGGACAGTTCCATACATGTCTGGACGGGAATTGGAATAGTTGCTCGGCAGAGTGGAAACCTCTCTTCTCCTTTCATCATATTCCAAATTCTCTTTCTACAAACATTTGATGAATTATGAAAACTAAATGAAAAACTTGTAAAATAGGACCTGCCGTAGTTCCTTTTAGAATCATTATTTTTTATCCACAAAATTAGATAGAATAGAAATTGACAAGAACTACAAAATCATACTATTTGGAAAACGGTATCTTGTCTATGAACAAAGTTGTAAGCCTGTTTTTTTCGGCTCGTTTCGTCTGTAATTTTGATCATCGACAAGATTCAATTTCCAAATAATATCATTTTGTTGTGCTCGTCAAGTTCTATCCCATCCATCTTAATTGATGCAAAAATATTGGTTCCAAAGGAAATTATGGCAAGGTTTGGTTTATAAGTATGCTAAATTACCTGCTCTCTCAAACTTTGAAGCACTGAAGTGGCTCTAGATGGTTGTGCAAAACGAGAAGGTTGTGGATCGAGCTGTCGTCTGAAATTTGTCATTTAGAAGATTATTTAGGTATTCTGGAGATCCACTCACTGATTATCAATTGGATCAATTCGAACTTTGACGTCATCAGCATATCTCCAATCGTTACTTGGTTCTTCTGGAGGTAATCTTCCACTGGAACCTATAATAAAAAAGTTTGAATATATGAAAAAAACATATTTCCACTCAAAATCCCCCTCATTCAACGAACTTGCTAGATTTTTTTCAGGGCGAACGGTCCCAATAATTCGTCTTCTCCCCCATAGTTGTTAGTTGTCCAATCAGTGGGTGTTCTCTCTTTCATATAATTATCATTCGATCTTTTTGCTACATCATCAAATCGAACATTTCTTGGTTTTGACGTCGTCTGAGCTTCCGGAATTTCCGGTGGCTCTGGAGCAATTGTTATCTGCACGGCTTGAGTGGGTTCCGGTGTCTTTCGACCACCCAGAATACGTGGACGCCAACTGAACAACGGCATTCTCTTGAATTGAAAGAGAACGGAATTTAGTTAGTACCCTGGAAATGGAAAGAAGAATTAGACAGTGGAGAGGAGAGGAAAAGATGTTGTACACAAGATGATGAGAAGTTTTGAAGAGGAGGATTAATTAAACGATGATTAAAATTTTTGTTTATTTTTAAAGGAGATTAAAAGTTTCAATAACCAAAAAAATTTTTTAACAATGTGTACGGAAGAAAACGTTAACGCCTGCTATAAAAATAGATTTTCCTCTAATAGGACCTACCCAAAGAGCCAACTTTGATCTCAATTATCTCAATTCTTATGCAAGGTATTGAAAATGTAACAAAAAACTTTGGACATTATGATAAACATTTTGTCCGTTGATTACTTTTCCATATCTTTCACAAGAATCGAGATAATTGAGCTTGAAGTGTAAGCACCAGGTTGCCTTATTTTAAAGCTTTTACGGTGGCTTAAAAATACGATAATTAGTAAAACAATGACGAATTCCCTAGAAGATTCTGTTCTGAGCAGCTGGCAAAATATCACCAAAACGACAAAGAAATTCAAAGAACAAGTCGTACTTTTATTGAACTCATGTGGTTGGTCATCATGAAAAAAGAACATCTGTGTAGCCCATTCGTCCAGAATCTTAAAAGGACGTTTTTTTTATCTATGGGTTTCTGGAAATGTGTTAAAACACGATTTTTTAAAGTCATGAGCAGGCATGTATAAAACCGCAAAAAATAGATTCTGGTATACAAAAGAATGTACATAAAATCAAGAGTCCTAGAGATTTGAATTTTTAATAATTCTTCCTTTTTCTTATAATTGCTCCTATTCTTGAAGCATATACTGAACTTTCAATTATTTCAAAGAACCTAAAATTTTGCATTATTTTCAAAACGACTGACCCCTTCTACTAGGCCGCCGTTCAGCCGTCAATCGTCCGTTCTATAGAATTGGAGAGGTTTCTGATGGAAATTTCAAAAGCTTATCGTCAATATTTGATTTCTTAGTTGTTTTGACAATCATCTCAAAAAGTCATATTTTCCTGTTTTCCAAAAATTTGCCTCACTATCAGAAGATGTTTGCAAGTTTTTACCAAATTTAAGATATGTTCTTGGAACTATTTTTTTTTGAAAATTCTATGTTCAGTTCTACATTTGGTTAGCTAGAAAGCTCTTTATGAAGACCTATGTCCCTTTGAGTTATTCGAAAGAAGTCAAAGAAAGGCAGACACACAGACAGAAAAACTCTGTAAATTGTATGATGAGGTACAACTAGAAATTGTTGGAACATCTCATCATATCAGTAGTATCTTTTCTCATATCTTCAAAAAAAAATCTTCAACAAAAAAATCTTGAGTCCAAAGAATAAAGGTAGTGAATCATCTGAGATCATCAATATGAATCTTGTCATAAAAATTTTCTCTCAAGAGCCCGCAAGAAGAGAGGCACAAATTGCAAAGAGTCTAAGAGTAAAATGTGGGAAAAGCACGGTGTAATTGTATTCGAATACGAGCACGACGAGAGCAGACAACCGAGAGATTTTGAGAGGTTAGAGGCCATCATTTGTAGAGAATTGCCAGTTAATAGAAAAGAGATGAGAGGGAAGTTAGACTGTTACACCCATGCAATGTCCCTTCGGTTGGTCCCGATCGGACGTCGGCTCGCGAGTACTAGAAAATAGGACGATGGGACAAACGCAAAACGAAGAGTGAAACTCAAATTAAAATCAATCGGATATTGGAATTGGGGGAGGAGAGAAATAGGAGAAGAATCAGGGGATCCTTTTGATTTGTTGCATTTTTCTGTTTCATTTTTTAGAATAATGTTAGTTTGTCTGATATATGTCGGTTCCACTTTTCTAAACAGTAAAATTTAACCCCAAATTTCCTAAAGTACCTGACACTTACTCAAAGTAATACATCAAGAAAAAAAACTCTCAATTCTAACCTAGACTAACCCCGTTCACTGAGTAAATTGCCAATCCACTTGTCGAGTCGTTTCATTTTCGGTGGCTTGTTGTTATGAGTTGGATGATGGCCTAAAGTCGCTGGAGGTGTGGCCGATCTTTCTGAAAAATCACGAAAAGAGTATCTATCTCAAAAGATAGAATTACCTCGTGTCGTTAGAGTGTGTCGTGGTTGTCGAAGGTCTACTGACGCCGGGCGATAGAATCTTGGATCACCATGAAACTCTCGAGAGTCCTGGAATTTTAGGTTTTGAGATTTTCGTTATCTCTATGTTGTCTATCATTGTACAGTACCATAACAATATATTATATTTCCACTTGCTCTGAGGAAAATAGCCAACTATGGAATCTTGAAAAAATATTCCAGTTTTTTTTGTAATTGACATCTTTTAGATCAAACTCCATTCTAATGATATTTATTGTTTGTAACCACAAAAGTGCCGGAAGATCCAATTTGGTACTCTACCCTAATTCATTTAACTTTTAAGTATTTATCCCATACAGTAATCCATTCCGCTTTCAAGAATTTTTCGCTACAGTAATCTTTTCCATTTTAGAATATTTTTGTCTTACAGGGATTACGGGGAGTTATGCGATTTTTAAATCGCTCAACTTACCTGATCAAACTTTTTTTAAAGTTTTCAAATTCCCGAATGAAAATTTTGTTTTGTTCAGAACACTCTGAAAGTTTCAGACAAATGGAAACATGTTTAACTATTATTTACAACCTCAAAGTCACAGGTAAGACGGGGTTGCCGAACAGCGTACAAGCGGCGACTGAAGATTTAACATTTTGGCTATAACTTGCGTCTTTACGTAAATGGGCGAAATTGGGACAAAATGCAAAAAAAAAACAATCGTTAATAATTGGACGCCCATGAAAAGCTATGTTTCTTCGTAAAATGTTCGTTGCAAAATTGTAATTTTTCCCCCATTTGCTTCAGAATTGTTCCAGATCTTCAGCCGTCGTCGGTACGCTTTTCGGCAACCCCGCCTCTATTTCCCACTGAAAAAGTAAAAAATGAATTTTACAAAATTGTGATCTCAGAATATCGTGAAGATAGTGTTTTAGTATACTCATTTCAGGACATGCAAAAAATCTTCTTACCTGTGAGCATGATCTTATGATACTTCTCGACTGCCTCGGCGGAGCAATGCATCCAAACATCGCTAACCAGTAATAAGGGTTTCGAAAATAAGAGAATGTCTAATTACAAAACTTTGGCAGCTCTTTCGAAAAAAAGAAAGAATCGTCTGCCGGTTGCTCGGGATGCCGGTTGTGCTTGCTTCGCGGCTCTTGAGGTTGAGGCACATTAAGGGAAAAGAGAAGAAGAAACAGTGCAAATCGGACAGAGACGGTTGAAGGTGCTTAGTGTTTGGTAAAGATTTCTTTGTGTGTATGTGACCACTGGCGACTATGGAGAATGAATTGGCAAACAAATGACACAAGATTCTACGGACAGAAGGAGCTTCCTTTTGGCATTTTTTTTTTGTTTCATAAGCAAGAAAAAAAAAAGAAAAGAGAAATTCAATTTTTCATTTTCATACTAGCATAGAGATCGAAATAAGAAAGAGATCCAACTGTGAGAAGTGTTGTTGATAAGAGGTTATCTTCTTCGGGAAGATTTTGGGGAAGAGAAGAATCAAACTTTGGTTCTTGAATATTCTGGAAAATGTGATTCTGGCAAAGGGCGTCGTGTTCTTCTTTGTTTGCTACGATGCGGTTGGAAACAAAACGTTGGTAGGCCTCCATTGGGCAAAGGACATCACATCCAGGAAGACGCATCTCTTGGGGTGGGGATACGGTAGAATTACGGTAGATAATCTGAAATTGAAGAAATTAAAATTGAATTGAATGATTATTAAACAAACCTTTACATGTTTTCGATTATTTACATTGTGCAATTCCAAAATCAAAGCAGCCGTATATGGGATTAATTTGTGATCCGAAATGCCCAAACTATACATCATGGAGGTTACTGTAGCATCATGTGTGGCATAAACAATCATTCTCCTTCCACTGTCTTTCTGCTCATTCATATCTTTTGTGATTTGACCAAGAAGATATCCAGTTCTCATTTTAGATTTCTCGTCAGAATCGAACTGAATTGTTCTATACTGTCTCTTCAATTCGGTTACATTTGAGAGGACCTCATTGACCCATACTGGTTGAGGAACATTGTTGGAATATTTTCTGTACAGAACATTGAAGACGTCGGAGATTTTTGATCCAGTGACATCCCATCCGGTCTTTTCGGAGAGGAATGAGAGGAGCTCTTTGTGGTGACGATCAACCACCGAGTTCAATAGTTTCTTATCATCCTTGACCAGTTCATCGACACGTCGGCAGTAGACACTGTTTGGTTTCAAGAGCTGAAAAAAATAATTTGGTGATAAAACGATAATTCACTAGTCCAGTTTATGGTCAACTTTGGCCATCGTTCGGATGTTTCAAAGTTTGAAAACTTTGAAAGAAAACTAACCAAATCATGTTTGTAATGAGAGAAAGTGTGAACAGGAACAATGTCATCCGGAAACAAACTTAGTGTGATTCCCATCGCTGTCTCAATACAACGATCCTTATCACTGGATCTGATCAAAGTCTCCTTTCGATTGAATCCATCCACAAGTCCGCTGTATCGATTTCTCAAGAAGGTTCCAACCTCTTTTGCTTGTTTGAATCCTTGTTGTGTTAGCTGAGAATAGCCACGAGGAAAATATTTCTCCACTTCGAACGGCTCATCAAGAGGGAAGGTGAAGGATGGAGCTCTGTCTCCGTGTCTGGAAGTTATACTTTCATTTGTTATGAAAAAAATTTTCATGAAATCGAGAATGTGTGTGGGACGGTTCTTATCAGGAAATTTCCTCTTTTGATTTTAGTGAAAGTTTTCGAAACAAACTTCCCGATTTCATAAGAAACGTCATACCGGAAATGAAATGATTTACTTATTCAAAACAAAACAGCCAAAAAATGAACGAACAAAGACCTATTTTAGCTTGTTCAACATATTTCTATTACTTCTGATCCGTTAGATATCCGTGTTTGAATGTCTCACAACGACAACTAGCGTAACTTAAAATTTTCGGTATTTTTTTTCGATTTTCACTGCTTTTCGTTGAGCTTTCAGTTATTTTTCCCCAATCAAGTCGGAAAATGAATTCTTCTAAATCTAAAAAATTGCCGGAAACGGACGAAAATCGCGAAAGGAAAATCCGGAAATTAAAAACTGTTCAGGTTACGGTAGCTGTCGCTGTGGGACATTCACTGCCTTCTCTTCCACAGCTCCGATCTTTTGTACCAAAATAATAAAACAAGCAATTTTTCGAAAAATCTTACCTGACGAGAACTTGAACCATCTCTAGCTCAGCGTGAACCACGGAGAAATAGAGAAACAAGAGTCGGTAGATCATACTATTGGTAACTGCTCTTTTTTGTATGTAACGAGACCAGGCTGATTGTTATGAAACCATGACTCTCCTTTATAGTACAGAAGTACGTTCGTACCGCCTCATTAGGGTGGAGTGATAAAAAAAACGAAACTTGGGAAGGTGTGACAGCTGACCGAGTGTCGAAGACAAAGAAACCCAAAACTTTGTTTCGCCGTTTGATTTTGTGAGTTGTGATTAGAATCGAAGTGTGCGAGCACTCATGCTTCGCTTCATTCACATTCAGTTGAAGACAGTCGAAATTTTATCAGTTGATTCGAAAAGAAGACAAAGAACAGATGATGTTCACATCATGACTTGTTCTATTTTTAGCTTATAACACAGAATAAATAAATAAATAGATGTAAATAGATACAATATAAAAAAAAGAGGAGTGGTCAAATAAAGTTTCAATGGGAAGCCCGAATTGGAAAAGTTTCAAGATCGTAATTATCAAAGTTGGGGGTTGAGTTCAATTGAGTCATTCTTCCATCTTCTCTTCTCCTTCTTGCTCTGCTGGTTTCTCCTCTTCATCCTTCTTCTCAGGCTCTTTCTCTTCTCCAGCTTCTTCCTTCTTCTCAGTATCATCTGTTGTTTCCACTGGCTCAGTTTCTTTGCTCTCTTCCTTTTTCTCCTGGACAGCTTCCTCTTGCTCTTTGTCTTGTTCTGTCCGCTTTGGCGTCTCCTCCATTACCAAATTCCTCAACAAAGGAGCAGAATTCGCTGAAAAATACGAAAGCACAATGATTAATCAAGTTTCACTGGTCACGGCTTACCGTTATGTGTCGCCGAGTCTGTCTTGTTCTTTTTGTACTCTTCGTAGGCAGCCGCCAGTTTCTCTTCCCATTCTTTGACAGTCTGCTCAAACTTCTCCTCATCGACAACCGGCTTCTCGCTGACTACTTTTTTCAGTTGTTCTTGAAAATCGTCGCTTCCCTTCTCGATAGATCTTTTTCTATTGTCGTGAGCTCTCTCGAGTCTGAAAATGTACTGTAAGAAATATGTATTTTACTGAAATACAAACTTCGTCAGTTCTTCTTCAAGCTTGCTCTGGTGGGTTCCCAGAGAAGCGGCTTGACGTTTCAGCATTTCCATGCGATGATGAGGAACAATCTGAAACCCAATAATGATCTTCTAAACTCAATTATTCGCAAACATTTCTGGTATCAGTTACGATACTTGGAGAGAAAAGATCACTAATAAGCCGGTTGTTCCGTTCAAATCTCACTCCGGCCAAACGCCTGGTACTCATTTCATTTCCCCCGTCGTCCTCGTCCACTGGTTGAATCACAACACCTCCGGGGTCCATGCGACTTCTTGACATTTTTTCGTTGTTTTTGGCTCGACTCTAAGAATGAATATGATAAGAGTGTTATAGAGAAAGAAAAAAGAGTTTGACTCATATATTTTATACAGAAAAATATATCACCTTGCTCATCATGTAATTCGACATTCCATTGCCTTGAAAGTTCTTCATTTGCTTGTCGTAATCTGCCTTCTCCATTTCGTATTCATGTTGAAAGAATGATTTTTCCGCATCGGTGGTTTCAAGCCACATCTTCCCAACAATCTTTCCTATATCCCAAAGCTGCGCATCCGGATTTTCGGCTCTAACTTTTGGCCACATCTTACGACTGTATCGCATGTACGGTTGTAGTGGTCTCTCTGGTACTTTAGGACCACGGGAAGACATATCTGGGAACTGAAAAAAATAGTTTGGGTTAAAGATTTTAAGGGAACTAAGGAAACATACATTTCTCGCCGGTGTTGCTTGGGGATGACGAAATGACGACAGTTGAAGCTAAAATAAAAATGTACACAAAACCAAAGAAAAGATGTGGTTTGTGAATAATTACTCAAAAATCGATACTTGGATTTAAAACTGTCCCCGCCCAGGTTTTCAATGGGGCGCATATGTGGTGCGTCGTAATGGTGTTGCTGGAGAATGCGGCAAAGTGGGCGGAGTCTCAATTGCAAGCTGCGCATGGCATTTCCGCAGTTTTGTTCTTGATCGTTCAAAAATTGTAAAACCGTGTGCAGCTTTCAGTTTAGACTCTGCGCACTTCAACACGAAACTTTTTCAGCGTGTTATTCACGAGCTCCCTCCTAGGAAAACTTTTTTCAGGAATCTGAATTATCGTTACAAAAAAGAAGTAAATTTAGAAGTATTGAAGGTTGACGTATTTTTGAAGATTCAATGTTTTAGCTTGGCTGTTCAATGGAAGGCATGGTTAATATGGGGGTCTAGCCAATGGGTTCTGATACATTTTTTTGGAAATTATATTTATTTTATTCATCCAGTAAATTATTTAAGCAAGAAAGGATGCGCCAAGAGAAAAAAGTTCGTGGAGACAGAAAGGGTGATAGAATGCAAAAAAAGGGGAGAATAAGCCACATTAATAAAGAAGTTGTAATAACCCGTCGCTAGATCGAGAGCTTGTGAACAATGCACACGAGATTCGATTCTGGGTATCGTAAACGAGATGATAGAGGCATGAAACAAGAGAGTGCCAAGGAAAAGGGATAAAGTATGAAACAAGCACATTTCAAACAGCGTGTGTCACAAGAGAGAAAAAGAGACAATTATTATAGGACATTATAAACCTAATGGCGCAGTTAACCAGCTTTCCGCATGATCAGATCAAGGATAGTTGTACACGCGAAAATCATTAAGAAATAACAAATAAGTTACTACCTAGAAGAACAGCGAAAAAAAAAGAAAATGAATATCCTATACTTGAATTGTCAGTCATAATCGAATGGGATGGGCTGGAAAACAGAACGAAAAACAGAAAAGTTAAAGTTCAAAAACCAACAAGTTGAGGGTGATGCATTTGCCTTATAGCGCCACCGTAATTGCCCGAGTTTTCTGAACAATGAAAACCGAGCAAAGCGACTTCTAACAAAGTAGGTAGCCGTACGGGAAGAGCCAACAGGTAGGCAAAATGATATAGCAGCACACAACGTAACGCGACACACACGGAGAAAAAAGGTGAATCATAAAATGGATGTGTGAGACTCTAAATATTAGAGCTCATGATCAACGGCACACTCTTCGAAGCACACCACTTCTCGATCAAAGTAGATAGCGACGATGAGTTACAATAGAGCATTAGGTTACAGGAAAAATTTCTGTTAAATATGAACTTTCCGATAGATACCAGAATCAGGAGAAAGTACATATTCAACAGAACCATACAATAATATAATAGTTCAAAAAAGGTTACAATAGAAATAATGAAAAAAAAAAGCAATTTACTAGAATTCGGTTGTCAAAAAAAAAAGAGTGGAGAACAAAATAAAAATGAATGGGAGAAAATGAAGGATTCCAGCAATTTAACTCCACCAATCTTGTGCTGGTTGAGCGCGCTGCGGCTGATGCTGTCGTCCACCACTGGATTGGAATCCACCGCCACCTCCGGAACGTTGTCCTCCGAATCCGCCGTTTCCACCTCCATTGTTACCTCCTCCGTTTTGGTAACGATGATCGCGGCCTGAAATAAACTGATTGTTGTTATATTATAAACAACAAGTTTTACCTCCGAATCGTTGTCCGTTTCCACGTCCACCGCGACCACGATATCCTCCTCCGTTTCTCATGTCTCCAGACATTCCTTCGAGCCAGTCAGGGAGCTCTTGATTAGCCTCCACAATGAGATCCATCAGCTCTCGAGCAATATTTCTATTCTTGTCGTTGAAGAAGGAGGTAGCTAATCCAACGTTTCCGACACGACCGGTACGTCCGATACGATGAACGTACTCATCAACATCAGATGGGAGATCGTAGTTGATGACATGCTTAACATTTGGAATATCCAGACCACGAGCGGCGACTGCGGTAGCAACAAGAATTGGAGCAGTTCCGGTTCTGAAATTATATTAGTTTGAATAGTGTTTGCATTGGAATCCATCATACCTGAAAAGATCAAGATGTTTCTCTCTTTCGAACTGTTTCAGATCTCCATGAATTGTCACAACTTGGTAATTCTGGCGATTCAAATAGTAAGCCAAATCAGAAGCTCCACGTTTGGTTTCAACAAAGACAAGAGTCAAAGAGCTGTCGCCAGTGGCATCGAGAAGATCCATCAAATATGACCGTTTTTCGTCTTCTTCGACCCAAACGATTTTCTGCATAATATTTTCGGAAGTCGATCCTACTCTTCCGACAGCCAAGAAAACGTAATTTTGTTTCAAGAAATCTTGAGCAAGAAGCTGAATTTCCTTCGGGAAAGTAGCTGAGAACATAGCAGTAACACGCTCCTCCTTTGGTGGCATACGGTTGAACTCGACAACCTGTCTGATCTGTGGCTCGAAACCCATATCCAACATACGATCGGCCTCGTCGAGAACCAAATAACGACATCCTTCGAGTCCAATGAGACCTTGCTCCATCACGTCGAGTAAACGACCTGGAGTTGCGATGAGTATGTGACAACCAAGCTGAAAAATACACCTGAATAAAAACAACTAACTAAGCTCTTCTTACCCGAAGTTTGTGTATCTGGTCTTTGTAATTTTCGCGACCTCCGTAGAGAAGAGCCGATGTGATTGGAGTACGGTAAGCGAACTTACGAGATTCATTATAGATCTAAAAATAGTTTTTAAATAGAAGAACCATTACACAAAAATACCTGAAGAGACAGCTCACGAGTTGGTGAGAGAACTAAAGCACTTGGATACTGCTTCTTTCTGCCTCCCGAACTGATGACGGATCGATGCACAGCATCTGGACCATCTTGAAGAATAGAGTTGACCAGAGGAACGAGGAAAGCAGCCGTCTTTCCGGAACCGGTTTGAGCGCACGACATCAAATCACGGCCACTCTGGAGAGCGGGAATGGAGTACTTCTGAACTGGTGTTGTCTATCATATCCGGCGGTTTTGATATTGTCTTCAATCCACTCATGGAGACTGAGGTCCGAGAAAAGCCCGATTGGTTGCGGAACATCATCTCCGGTCGCCTCAACCGGAATTTCTTCGTATTTGTCGAAGTTGATTCCCGAAAGTTGGCCGGCGAAAAGCTCTTGCTCAATGCGCTCGTCTCTTGGACCGCGATTCTCCCATTTCGAAGATCCGCGCTCGCTTCTGCTTGGAGCATCGAGATTATTCCAACGAGTATTTTGACTGAAAAATGGAAGTTTTTGATGATATTGGCGTAAGTAACTTACGAATCTCCTCCATTCTCGCGGCGGTCACTGTATGATCGCCCCGATCCTCTATTGTCGTATCCGCCGTCACGGTTGTTGTATCCACGGTTGAAGCTTCCACCGTCCCCTCTATCTTGACGATTGTAACCTCCGCGGCCACCATCACCACCACGACTGTCACTGCGGTTACTGTCTCCGCGGTTGTTGTATCCACGGTTGCCACCGCCGTTATTGTAACCGCGATCTTCGTAACCACGATCTCTTCCTCCGCTGTAACCTCCATTTCCGCGGTTATCGTTGTATCCTCTGTCATTTCCACCGCTGTTACCACCTCCACGACGGAAGCCACCGCCACCGCTTGAGCCACCGCGGCGATCATCACCTCCTGATGCTCCGTCTCCCCCGCGAAGATGCGGTGGAACGTAACGACCTCCTTTGTTTAGAGCAGCATTTCCACTGCTTCCATTGTTCGATTGGTTATTTTCCATCAAAACACAGCACGCGCAAGTATGCGATCAACCCTGAAAACAGCAGAATAATGAGATAACGGGAAGAGGAAAGAAAAGAACAAAGATTGTGAGCATAGAGTAGACAAAAGTCAAAAATAGTAAAATGGATTGGTGAAGCTGCAATCGCAGCCTGGAGGGGAAGACAAATCGACTGCTCGTTCCTCGCCCTCTGCCGGATGGAATAGAGAAAGGAATGGGTAGAGACGCAGAGAATGCGTGGCGCACCACCCTATCGATTTTCAATCCGCCTATTCGGAAAACATCAATAAGCAGTTTAAAAAGGGGGTAAGAAACTCTGAACAGAAACCAAACTCATAAGATGAAGCTTCGTGCCATACTGATGTAACAAAACAATACAAAAGATTATGCAGAGATTGGGGAAAAGTCAGAAGCAATTTTTAGAAGCGAATTATTTCACAACATAATTTTTTTGAAAAACAACCACAATAATAGAGCCCATGATGCCATTTCAAAATTGTAAGGAACAGAACTGAATGAGGGTCCTATCGGAAACCGTCAGAAAATCAAAAATAGGCCACAGCTAAGTCGGCCTTGTGATATGTGGTTTCAGCTTTATGAATTGATGAAATAAGCATCTCATATTTATAGTCATCCATTCATAGGATCAAATCAATACATCTCTAGTCTAGTAAGAGTTAGGAAAGGAGAAAAATCTTCTAAAAACGGAAAAGAAAACCAATTGGCATTCACAAGTCCGCACAACTGCGCAAGAGTGTTTGCACACACTTTTCTGTGTCGTCGACCGTATACCACAACAAAAAATCAGTTTGATTGTGCGTTTTGGTTGATAATTAAAAGTTGGTTTAAAACAATAGAACAGAATAATTATATATGGAGATTCTCAATTAAAAGTCTACAAAAATCATAAATATTCTAATTAACAAAATAAAACCATTCCAGCTAACCCAAGATGATCCCTCCACATTTTGACGTAGATATTAATCAGTTTTTGATAACAAACGAAGATTGTCGAATTGTTTTTATCACGGTAACCTAAATATATGAATTTTTCAAAAGTGAGTAGGCGATATTCAGAGTGGTGGCACCCAAGTACCTCTGGAAAAGAATACAGTTCGATTCATAGACAACTTTTCAATGGGGACTCGGGGAGCAGCCAGCGCAGAGTGAGATGTGTCTAATTAGATTGTTTAGATAAAACAGATGTTTCAGATACTTTCTTCGGGCTGGATACGCGGTCATTTTCCTGCATCGTGAAGAATCGTTAAAACCATTCTCAAGACACTTTCCGAATATTTTCAACTCGCTCACTTTGGATTCGACAGGACAAAATGTTGTCTGTAACCTCCCGAACTTGGCAAATATTTTGAAGGAAAAGTTCAAATATGAGAAAAATATCTTTTACGCATCGTTCAAAACATTTGATCAGTACATTGAACGACTTGAACACATTTGTATTCACCTCAATCCATTAGAATCTCGAGCTATGATTTATTTGGCTGCCGCTGTTTCTGACTTTGTAGTCACCGAACTAGTGAGCGATAATTCTTGAATTCCGTTTTGAAATTGCCCTTATCTTCCAGCCAACACACAAGATTGCGAGTAGCACGGAGTTGAGTCTTGAGCTTAGCGTTGCTCCAAAAGTAATCGAGAGAGTAGTCAATTGCTTTGTTCCAAATGCGTTCATTGTTTCTTTCAAGGTTTGCTATTTTATTTGATTCTTCCCAAAAGTTGGTTTACAGCTAGAAACTGATGAGAGCAAACTGATTCCAAAAGCCAAAGCAGCTCTGAACAAGTATGGCCATCAGCTTGTAATCGCCAATATGCTGTCCACCAGAAAGCAAAAAGTAACACTCGTTCGAAAAAACAGAGAAGATGGAGAAGAGATCATTCTTCCTGCTGAAAAAATAAACGAAACTGAAATTGAGTCGATGATAATTCGTCGTCTAAGTGGACTTCATCAAGAATTTATTGAATCTAAACATTAAATAAAACTATTCACAAGATAATTCATCTTCGTAATAAGTATTTTCATAGAAAACGGCATATCATTTCACATTCGAGGTCAGAGAATGAGGTTATGGCTCAGCCATTGGTGGTGGACAGTGTTCCTCTGGATGTTTTTCTTTGTGAAGATTGCGTAAATCGCCTGACTCTACAACACTTGAAGAACGGACCGTTGATGTATTAGCTACAGAAGGGATCTGGAAATAAATTAGTTAATTCAGCTCAATATTTTTCTGGTTTTACTTGAAAAGAGAACATGCCATGCTGGGCTGGGGCTCTTTGGGGCATCTGGCAAGCGATAGGAGGCATTGATGGATCATGAGAAGCCGGAATACAATCTTCCGTTGATTCTTTCATCGTTTCCGAGCGATCAAAAGAGAAAAGTGAGCCAAACATCATATGTTGGACAACTGGGAATTTCTTTAGAACCTCTCCTTCGTACATTTTAAACATTCCACTATTCACTTTCTTCCAGTGCGGAACTGCCGAAATATTCCACAATTGATTGGAATGCTCATGAAAAGGGCCAGTTTTCGTTTGATTAATGAACTTGACACAATCCAGGAAGAGACTGAGATGGGCATTTGCCTCAACGACCGTTTCCTTCAAATAACTGTCAGGAACTAAGTTTTTCGAGCCTGCAAGAAAAATAGTTCTTATCTGCGTCAGCAAAAAATGTGTGGGCTATTTTAAAGACCCACCGATGAGTTGAGCACTTCCAAAAATGAAAGGAGCAAACTGAAAATCATCAATGGCATGAACTCCTCGGCTTCCAGCTGGTTCCATTTTAAATTTCATTTGCAAATGGCGGCACACTCTCAAATACTTGTGGAAAATACGAAGAACCAGAACTTGGTTATCATTATCAGTGAAAACATGCATTTTCTGAAGACAGAAAAGCAGGATGAGGAAATTGGCCTCGTGTCCCGATCCGTAGTCGATTCTAGTAGCATTTCCGAATGCCTCTGTGAAATACGGTACCAATTCAATAAGGGCACCTTGAGTGTTCGGAGGGAGAACGCGACTCAATAGTTCAGTTGCTTCCTAAAAGATATTCTAAATGACATCTTGTTGTTGTGGCTTGCGAACCTTGCAGAGTCTTTCGTAGAATCGACGATAAGCTTTGTTTCCGAATCGCTGTTCAGATGTGTCTTCCAGAGGAATTTCATCAATCCATTTCTAAAGTTTTGAATGAAAGAGGAGCCAGTTGCAAAGTATATTTTACCTCGAGAGTATCCAACATATCGATGAAATCAATTACTAGATCGGAACATCGCATATCCGCTGTTGTGTGAACTCCGACTACTGAATCGTTGAGACGATGCAAGAACGCTAGGTACTCTTCGTAGGCCTTCGAGAAGTACCATGGATTGAGATCAAAAACGTTTTTGATCATTTTCTCTGGTACTTTGTAGCTTTCGGACGCCATAGTATCTGGAAAAAAGCTTCATAAACACTGTGTTATTGCAATTGGAATTAAAAAGATACATCGAGAATGGAATCAATACTTTACAAAAATACAGTATATTAACTTAAAGGAACATCTGTGATTCTGCAATGTCTCTGCGAGAACGAATCCATAATTTGGAAGTCATACGGTTGATGGCTTTGAAGCGAAATCAGTTCTGAGTCTTCAACGATTGCTTCGATAATTGAGCAAGAAGTCGGATCTTGTGTCTCGAGGTATTTATCTCTGTTTAAAACGTTTAAAATAGCGATCTCTTAAGAGGGAGATTCAAAAATTGAGTGAAAATTATCTCTAGTTCACACTACACAATTTTGCCGTGCTTCTGAACAAACTTAATTCTGCCCAGTTCCATTTATAACCTTCTAAATCGCCCAGCAATGAAGTTAAACACTTTTCATAAATTGTTGACAATTTTTATCACACTTTTTTTCGCACAAAAACAATTCCAACCGCGCCCCAACGCCAATCGGAGTGTATGCTTTTCTGGAGCGTTTTCTGCGTCGCAAGTGTGATGGAGTGTACGACGCTTGGCTCGCGCTGCATCTTCAGCCAGCGATTTATCGATTTTGAAAAGCTTTTTCAATCGCTCAGCTCAAAAAATATCTTCGAAACCTTTTCCTAAATACAATGCATAATTCAGTGTTTCAAAATTTTTATTTTCAGTAATGCCTGTCCAAGTTGAGGTACCCCCAACCACCTACGAGAGACTCCAGCAATACAAGGTAAACTAAAAAGTTTTTCAAATATGAATCTGATCGAAGATTTGCAGGAGAAGTTCTCCGATGCTCTCCGTCACCCAGACTCCCCAGACTGGTACAAGAAGGAGACTCACGAGAGCGTGAAGAAGGATCTTCTTTGGGCAGCTCCATATGACGCTAGATTCCCACAGGTGGGTTGAATTTCTGACGCTTTCGCTCGTTCTCTTGTATATGAAGATAAATTTCAGGTTCGCAAACAGCGTCAATGCTTCGCTTACTACGTCGATTTCCATCGCTGCAACGAGTTGATGGGACAAGACTATAAGCCATGCAAGTTCTTCCAGAACGTCTACAAGGTAATTCATGGTTTTTTTTAAACAATATTTTTTATTGAAACATTTCAGGACTTCTGCCCTGGATTCTGGACCGAGAGATGGGACGAGCTTCTCGCCGAAGGACGTTTCCCAGCTAAATTCGATCGCTAAATGTCTTCTATTGTATTCGATTGTGTCCGAAAAGGCGTTTTATTAGTGCTATTCGATAAAAGTGTCACTTGTAATCAAGTTTAGTCCTTTCTTTTGCGTCGAGAAACGCTTCATATTTTCAAGCATTATTTCTCAATAAATCGAATGAATGATAAATTTTATGTAGGTCAGAACCGTAAGATGGCCGAGACTACTCGCGTGAGCGAGAAGGAACTCGAAAGACGAGAAGGTTTCATCCGCGCTGGTCACAGAGAGCGTCATGTGATCGATCCATTCACCTGGAGCTATCCTTGGAAGGTAGGAATTTCGGGGAATCTGGTTAAAAAAGTTCATTAATCAGGGAGCCGGTGTCATGCTCGGAGTCTCGACTGCTGCCTTATATTTACAAAATAGATGGAACAAGAAGCCATACTACTACGCCATTGTGCCACGTCTTCTTTTGATCGGAGCTGCATCTGCCATGGGATACGCAGCAGGAGCTCTCCGCGAAAAACACTACCAGACTAGAGATGCTGTGATTGAGCACTACATGCAACTCCACCCAGAAGATTTTGACCATTTCAATGATCGTAAGTATAATTTATCAAGCAAAGTAGTGTGCTCATTGTAAAACTAGCAGCTCGTGGTGGCAAACTCAGTTGAAAAATTCAGCCGGGGACTTTTTTTTCAAAGTTTTGAATCAGTTTTTCTCAAACAACTGAAAAGAAGCTGGAAATATTATGTCATTTAAAACAACTGTCGTTATTTACTGGAATTAAAAACATATTCTGGATTTTAAAAAAAAACATATTCTGGATTTTAAAAAAGAATTAAAAACATACTCTGGACAAGAAATGGGACATGTACAAATAAAAAAAGTAAAATGACCAGACGGACCGACTAGAGTCCTGTAGGTCAAGTGGGAGGGATCAGAATATCATAAGGAATCGCTCCTACTCGCTTAGCAAACGCCACCGGACTGAGCTTAGAATTTATCACAAAAGTGATGCCTAGAGTCTCAAATTCCTTACTGTGTCGGCTCACGAACAAATTAATTTCGTTTGAACTTTTTGAATTTTGCTTTTTTTATCGATGCACGCGAAAAGCGCCAGCAATCTCCCTTGTGCGCTTTTCGTAATGTGAAGGGGTTGGCTCCGGCCACCTTCAAGGTTACTCAACCTTAAGGGAATTAAGTAGATCCGTGGTGATTATGGTTATCAGGTTTATTATAGTGGTAAAGATAAGATAAAGAGAATGAATAAGTGGAGAATATATATGAATATATATATGAGAGGCCTCTACTCAAAAGTCATGGTGTCCGGACTGAGGTACTGGCGCCGTCTCCTCTCCCGAGGAAGAAAGGGGCGGAGTCAGTCTCCTCCGTCTCTCCTCTTGGTGGTGAGGCGCCAAGAGGAGAGGGATAAATAAAAGGGGTGACGAGGCCTTTAGCCTGTCTACCCTTTCACAGTAAATTATTCGCCTTGTAGTGTGCTCATTGTAAAACTAGCAGCACGTGGTTGAAAACTCACGCTTTCAGTAGAAAAATTCAGCTGGGACGTTTTTTTTCAAGTTCTTGAATCAGTTTTTCTCAAGCAACTAAAAAGAAGCTGGAGATATTATGGCAAAAAATAACTGCCGTTACTGGAATTAAAAAAAATCAAAGATAATTTTTCAAGCCATGAAAACCAAGAAAAAAGATCCAAAACAATTATTCTTCAGATTACGGTTGTTTTAGTTCAGAGATCTGCCAGTACAGAAACCAAGAGTTTACTTTCAGATATATTTATTTAAGACTGACATCAAATATCTTTTTCAAACATTATTATTCCAGGCAACGGCCGTTCCTTTTCGCAAGTTCTCCTTCCATGGTATCCACGAAGAACCCAATACACCAGATACGATTAGACAAATCTAATCATGAATATGGCCCGAAACGTTTAGCTTATTGTAAATTGAATAAAGAAGTTCGATTGTCCTCTGTTATTATTTCACTCATTTTCTTTCTCTCTTTAACATAAATATTATGGTTTTGGTCCGTTTTATTGCTGTGCCCGAGTTCGATACTAACAAAATCTATGTAAAAGTTATTTTTCAAGGAATAAGATGGACAGCAAAGAAAAAATCTTGGCAGATCGGAAGGATCGATTATTAGCTAAGCTAGAACAGAGAAATGAAGAAAGAAAAGTCTTGAATGAAGAAAGTGTGTCAAAAACGGATGGTGATGATGTAGATCAACTGATGGGGGATATTGAAAAAGATTTGAAATCGAAGACAGTCGATTCAACGAAGATTGATCGTTTACGTACGTTCGATTATGCTACAGTTCTACACAACTGAAACAACTATTTCAGAAGAATATCTCGCTTTTTCAACGAATAATCGTCAATCGAAGGCTATCCAGAACCTTCTCGAAGACGTGCGAAAGCATAAACTATCCCAAAATTCAGGCCCGAAATTTAAAGGTTTTTCTTTTTCGGTGAGATTGATTGCTCGTAAAAAATCATTTGTCAGAAATTTCAGAAAACACCAAATACAACCAGTTCGTCAAAATCTTCAGTAGAAGTGACGAAGCCGGTTGAAGTTGCTGCTATATTGAATGCTCCATCTGCTTCCGAAAATGTTATCGAAGACTTGGTAGTGTTTCCAGAAACTTTCCTGTTGAATTGGATTAAAAAATCTTTTTCACTATCAGAATCTTCTGTTTTCAGAAAGACGAAAAACGAAATATTTCCGGTGAAAAGGGAGAAGACATCAGTTTGAAAAACATTGAAAACTGCCGTCTACAGTTCGATTTCGAACCTTCTATCGTTCATATTCGAGTGAGTTACAAACATTTATTCAATCTTAAATATACATCTTGGATTTTCAGAATATAAAAAATAGTACATTGATCTTCTTACGATGTGATAGATCTCTTCTCATTCATGACTGTGATAAGTGAGTTAAGATAAATTATCTACTTTTTCAACATATTTAATATCCCTTTCAGTGTTCATATTTATGTCGCCGCTCAGCAAGTCCGAATTCACACATCTCAAAACTTACATTTGCACGTTGCAACTCGCGGAGCGGTAATTCTAGAGGACTCCAAAAATGTTTTCATGTATCCGTACAGGTAAATCTATTTTTGATGAGGTTTAATTTATAACAAAAAAGTGTTCAGGCTAAAATCAGCAACAGGAGACTATCTAACTGCGGAGGACAATGGTGAATGGCACGCGCCTCGTGATTTCAATTGGCTCGCAACAACTCCGAGTCCGAATTGGAAAGTGGTTGCGGAAGAAGAATGGACCGAAGAACAACTTATTGCTTGATTTATTCATATATGGAAAAAAAAACTATGAAACATTTTGAAATAAATATTGTTCTGACTGTAGGGTAAAATAACATGAATAAATATGTAAAATAAATTATAGGTTAAATTGAAGAAAAACTGAGAGACATAATTTAGACATTGAAATACATCTGCTATCAAGTGAGAATGGCGGAACGACGTGTTTGGTGCATTTTATTGAGAAGGCAAAAGCTGTGGGGACTGGAAAAATAATTGGCTCAGTTGAGAAGTGACTGGAAGACTTCGTTCATGTTTGCGATGGCCATCAAGTTTTTGGATTTCAAGGATAGCTGAAAATAAGTATTTTAAGGAAATTTTGGGATCAGGAGGTTCTACCGTAATTGCAGTGTTCTGCGAGTTAACTTTCAGCTCGGAAAGGACATTCAAATTGTTGGTGTATTTCACGGAGTGGTACAGAAGCTGCTGATTATCGACTTGGCGACGAGCTACCGTATGAATGTTATTCTGTTGCAATTTTGTGCAAATCGCATCTGCGTTCATATTTTGAGTGTTTTGAAGTGAGAATTGTTGCTCGTTCTGCTCTGGAATGCTCTTCCACTCCTCCAAAAACTCACGCTTCTCCATCTGAAAATAACGAATCATAGCTCTTGTTGTTGTAGTCCACTATTCTACTACCTGTCCATCTTCTCGGAAGTAAACGATGAGTGGAACTTGAGTGGCAAAATAGAAGGCATTGATGTTGTTCTTTATAGCCACCTGCAAGAAAAATTTCACATTTTTATAGCCCAATCCTTAAGAAATAGCGAAATGAATGAATTCTGATTTGTAATATTTGTTTAGAATACACACTGATGTGACACACTATGGCATTTAATGTTTGTACGTCGTGCCATCTCATCACTCTTCTTATGATAACAAATCACATAATGCCCATATCGGTCTTTTTGGTGTGCTGCGTCGTTTTGCATTTTCATTCTCTATCAATCGATTGATTTTTTGTGCCTCCTAACTTTTTTCTTTTTCTTCTTTTCTTCTGATTGAGTGACCCATTCTGCCACGATGGGCTCGCTTTGTTCGCGAGAAGAAGATGGGGAGGATGCTATGACAACTATGAACGGGACAGGAAAGAGCAAGACTAAAAAGGTATTTTGTTTTTAAGCTTTTTTAGTGCTGTGGGAAACTAAATATTTTTAGGAAAGCGATATCATCCATTTTTTCATGTTAGGAATAGAAGGTGCTGGTAAAACAACAATTATCCGCCAACTCAAATGTCTCTGTATGCAGAAACCTCATAACTATCAGGTACTCTAATATGTTCTCCTAAATTCTAAAAACTCATTTTCAGATGTACGACGATAGCTGGAACTTGATTGACCGCGAGAAAATTTTCGATTACTACGAATTGGAAGGACTTAAAAATGTAGTGCGAATTAATCTTCTAACGGCTGCTGCCTCATTGATACGGAAAGCGAGAGATCGCGACGAAGAGTTCTTGCGAAGTTCCACAGCCGCTGCTGCGATTCTGAGAAAATGTTCACAGCTGTACGAAGGAGAAGTTGATATTTATGATCATTCGAATCAAATCGAAGATGAATATGGAGGATTCATCATTGAGATCATATCTGATCCTCAAGTAGTTCGGCTGCTCGAGCAACCGATTGGCGTTGCTGGATTGAAAATTGAAGACGGAACCCGATATTTTCTAAAGGACGAAGGAAGAATTCGCAACATTTTCACTGATTCTTATCAGCTTACAAACGATGATATTGGTGAGTCTAAAAATATCAGAGCCTATTCGAAAACTAAGGTTCAGTCCATGTTCGTAAGCCGACTGTTTCTTTCAAAAGTTACAAATTTCGAATCAAGCAACTACGAGTCGAGATTCATGACATGGGCGGTCAAAAAAGTGAATTAGTGAGTGTTCGATTTATTCAATCTGAATGTCGGAATATGAACCTGCAGGTAAAAATACCCCAATTCATGAGGCAATTCTTGACAACTAGTGGACATTGCTTTTTGCTTTATGTATCATCACTGGCCGCTTTTCAAGAACCTGATAAGGACTCGAAGGGAAGAACTGTTCTTGATAAAAGTGCTGCTATCTTTAAGGTGGGTGGCAATATGAAACCAGTGCAAAACAAACTATTATTATTCAGCTTGTACTGGAAATGAGTGGAGTCGACGAGTGCACAGTAATGATATTTTTCAATAAGCAAGACAGATTTGAAGAAATTTGCCGAGAAATGTTACAAAATGATGATGGAGAAGGAAAACGACAGATTGAGAAGCTTCTTGGTGTGCCGCCAAAACTTCCAAAAAATCAAAAAGAAGGCGGCAAGAAAAACAAGCCCGAGAACTACGACTATTTGAAAGACTCGATTCGAAATCGATTCAAGGAGATATTGAAGAACAATAACGACAAGAAAAGTTACTACATGAAATACACTCAAGCTACAGATGCTCAACTGATGAGCACTATCTTTTATGCTGTTGAGAATGAAATCATATCAGCATTCTTCACTCAAGCCCGTTATTTATAACTCTATTATTTGTTCGATTTACATTTTTACTTTGATGACCTTTTTACATTTATAAATAAGACTTACCTGAAGATTCGTGAGTGGTGTGGTGACCTGAACCGGTCCTGAGGTGTCACAAACTATCGTGAACTAAAAATAAACGAATTTGAGAAATAAAAGCGATACTTGATACATACATTTTTGGATTGATTTGGAAGAATTGGAGATTGATCCATCTGCTCAACAGGTATCAGGCCAAACGAGTTTTTGTTGAATTGGAGGGCAAATTCAGAAATTGCTTGCATGGCTCTGTTAGTGATTGTAATCTCCATGGAAATTCTTCCATTTCTTCGCACAAAAGTCCCCTCAACTTGCATTCCCATAGCCTTCGATGCTTCAAGCCACATTTCCTTCGGGTGTGTGTAGCCAGAAGATGCTCCGAAACCACCAGATCCGAAGATTTCAGCGAGACCACCGATGGAAGCTGGTTGTTGAGCTGCTGGAACAGCACTTGGCATTCCAAGTCCAGCAAGGGAATCAAATGGATTATTTGAGGAAGCCATCGCAGGTGCAGCGGGCATGGAATCACCTCCCAGTCCAAGAAGATCATCAAGTCCACCCATGGAGGTGGTTCCTGACATTGAAGCTCCATAGCCTCCTGTGTTGGCACTGGTGGCAGGTGCATTCAAATCAAGAGACAGGAGATCAGCAATGACCTGGTCTTGAGACGGGATGACAGTAGGAGCAGATCCATTTCTAGACGCATTAGTTGCGGAGGACGTATCCAGTAGACTAGAACCACTGAAAATAAACAACTGAAAATAAATATTTGAAAAACTGTGACATACAATTTGGCAGTTGGAATCGGATTGATTTGACGAAGTGGGGCCTTCGCGGGATCGATAAATGCTGATGGAGGTTTATGATAAACAGATGCAAGCGTTCCGATGTGGCAAACCAATTGCTCTAAAAGGGATGGCTCTAGAAGATCAGTCTCTTCCGAAATCAAAGGTTTCTCAGTGAGAACAACATTCTTGGCAGCAGCTGGATCAGCAGATAGAAGTCTCCAGTAAATGAATCCTCTATCACGAAGATCTGGGTTGTCGCTGTCCTGAGTAGCAAGAGAAAGAACGCGTTGAACAAGGGCCTGGGCGACTCCTGGTCTCTTCAGGAAAAGTTTGACAACGGCGGTGAGCAGTTGGAGCTGGACTTGAGTATTCTCATCGTGAAAGCCTTCAACGAAGCTTTCAAGAAGTTCATCAGCATTGTCGATGCGCTCGGCGTATTCTCCGATAATCCAAATCATCGAAGCACGAGCTTCTGGCTCGTCAAGAGTGTCTAAGTTCTTAAAAACATATTAATTTCAGATGTCACACTATAAATTATTATACCTCACAAAGAGCAGAGATAATGCTCTCGTATCTATTGGGATACTTTCTGAAGATGTCCTTAATCACAACAACAGCTTCTTGCACAACATAATTAACCTTTGTTTGGATGAGTTCAAGAAGTGTTTGAACGCATCTTTCGCTGCTGGTCTCCACTTTGATTGCGCATCGTCCAATTGCACGAACAGACTTTCTGACAAAGTCCACATCAACTTCAGTCGCGTATTCTTTCAGTTCACTCAGCACTTGAGAGATATTGTTCTGTTGAGCCAGACGAATCATAATGTCGAGTTTTTCCATTTTCACATAGATTGGATCGTTATATTTCACAAAGAACACTTTCATTTCTTGTTTAAGGATGTCCGGACGCTTTTGAACGATCAAGTTGATGTTTCTCAATGCCACATATTGAATTTCAGGTTCAGCGGAAAGCAGAGTGACCATTGGTGGGGCTAGTTTCTTGGTGAGCTGAGTGATAAAATCCGAATCAGCGGGCATCATATCGATAAGCTTCATAAGCACTTTGACAGTGGAGAGGACGACTGCAGCATTGGCATGGGCTAATCTTGGAGAGATACGTTCGCAGATGTTCTGAGTTTCTCGTTCGTCGCGTGGAGTGTATCCAGCAAGAGCATCCAAAATGAAAACTTGTCCCCACTCGGTGCACTCGTTCAAAGCTGTCAGAAGCTTGTTCACCATTTGACTGTTGACTTCGATGACAGTTTGTTGATCATTCATTTCAGTCAAAGCAGCGACAGCATTGGCTACTACCATAGGATTGGCATCAGAAAGCAAATCATTAAGAAGCTCAACGAATCCTTGATCTTTGACTAAAGTTGGATTCATATCGTGTAGTTTAGCAACACAAACGGCAGCTGTCTTTCGTACATATGGATCCTCATCCTTCATACATCTCCGTAACGGATCACAGAGATATTCGGTAATTTTTTCAACACGAATACATCCCATTGTTCGGACCGCAAGCGCTCGGATCAAGGGATTCGGGTCTTCACAATCCTGAAATATTCTAATAATAACAACTATTCGGATATAATAAATCAACCAACCTTTACAAATGTATTCACTGCCATAATGGCCAGATCGGGTTGCGACTTGGCATAGTTCATTAGATACAAGTAAACAAGCTTCTTCAGTTCAACATTATCTGTTTGCATACAATTGACGACATCCGGAAATAGAGCACTAACATCCTTTCCAACTGTCATACTTGCAATGACCTTCTTAACGGCTTCCTTTTTCTTTTCTTTCTTGTCAGAATTGAGCTCATTTTTCAGTTCGAATATTTCACCTAGGAATAAGGAGTTTATAACTTTTCAAAAAAAATTTTTGTACCTTTTTTAGTAGTTGTGAAGTACTTTGAGTCGGTCATCTTGAACCTGCTTGACTACCCTGAAAAATACTTTTTTGGGGGAACGGACAAGAGTATCATGACAAGAAGCTGAACAAGGGAATATAAAGAAGGAAATAAGGAAACTGAGTTTTGGAGAAAGTAGCCAGAAGAAAGGAGAAAGAAACATAGAAAATCGATGAAACGCAGTGCGCAAAGATTTCGCTGTCAGGCCCCCAGTCGTATTATATTGCCGAAAAGGGAGAGAGTGGAGGTGAGAGAAAAAGGGCATGAGTGGCCACACCAAACACGCCAAGCCCTCCCATCAAATGCGCCGGATTGTCGTTTGCGCGTTTTTAGAGTTTTAGAAATGGAATATTCGTATGCAAACGAGTTGCTTTATTCAAAAGTTTCAAAGAGCAGCTGGGTCCTTTTTTGAATAATTCTATTCGGTACTTTTTAAAAACTAACTGTTACAATACAGATTTATTAGAACAGTTATGTTAATTTCTCAAAAATGGATTAAATCTCAATTCATACCTTTTCAATGCTAATTGTACTGATTTTTGCAAAATTTTTGCGAAAAAATACGTCGAAATCGATTTCATGAATTTCCCCTTCAAGACCATCTACAGTAGATTTTTTCTGGAATCAGTGCTGCGCCTTTAAAAGCATACAGTTTGCGTCTGACTCGGAAATTCACACACGAATTTCAGAAATTCAGCGGTTTTTTCAATTCGCGACTTAAAAAGTAACTCGAAAACTCGTTTTTTCCAAAAAATCGCTCATGTATTATTATATTCAACAACAAGTTTGCTATATTAATGATTTTTTTCTGTTTTTAGGTATGAATGAACCTACCAGTTCTTCTAGTACCTCAAACGACCGAACGAAAAAGAAATCTGAATCGAGCAAATGCTTCTATGCATTCAGAACGGGTTTGCCCGGTAAGATTTGCTCACAAAGGCAATTTTCAAGCATTAATTGCAAATTCGAAAATTTTCATCTCTTCGTAGAGTTTCCAGATAACAGTGAAATTCAAGGAAACCACGACTTACTCACCGCCTATGGTCTTGGCCCTGTAGAACGAGCTTTCAATGGTACTCGTCGTGTCAAAGAGAAAATGTCGGCTTTTCTACCACATGTGATAGGAGAGTTACATTTGGATGCCACTAAAGAAGCTAGTTCGCTGAGGGCACTTATTGAAAAGCCACCGATTCACAAAGAGATATCAAATCTTTCAAGTTCAGCAATGCAAGGTTTCAAGTTATCGGCTGGTCCGGTGGACGAAAGGTTAGATTGGAAGAAAACGATTTAACCCAAAATTTATTTACTTGAAGATATCGTCATTTGTTTGAAAGAAAACAAGAAGTGGACGTTTTGGCTTACAGTGAGAAATCTAACATGATACGGATAAAACCACCATATGATCCATACGGGTTCGAGGATGATGAAACAGAGAAAGGATTTCCAAGAAAACATAAAAAGAAGAAGAAGAAGGAAAAGAAGAAAAAGAGGGAAAAGTCCGAATCAGAAATTCCTTCAGAAAAGAAGAAACGATCTGCTGAAGCCATGGAGTTTTAGGTGAGTTTTTAAAAATTATTCAAATAACTGTCATTCTGGCACGGATCGCCATCGCGATATCCTGACGACATGATGACATCAAGGCATTGTGCAATTGTCTCCGTCTTCGTTGGCTTAGCTGACGTTCGACGGAATGGCGATGCTCTACTATACATACATGCGTTGTAAGACCCACTGTAGAGTTTTGAAATTAAAGTTGGTTCTGTTTTATATTTAGTACGACTTACACAAAAAGCAACCCCCAACAGAACAAAATAAGCTCCAATCAGCTTCAGTATAATATAATATTAGCTCTTCATTTTTCGGTTCTTGAGTGTTGGTAGAATGAATTATAAACATTGTAATGATGTTTGGAAGGAGTGAGGCGAACGTTGATACTGACAATGCTCGAATTACTCCTTTCGCATCTTTCGAAAAAAAGTATCCTATCAATGCATACACTGGAGCAATTACAGCAAGTAGAAAAGCTACTAGATCTATAAATTTGGTTTAATTTACAACTTTCGTTTCAGATTATCAACTGACCCTGTACGAAGTTTGACTGCACACGTTCTCCTCTCGCCGAGTATGACTGGAATGTCAGAAACCAGTGGCAGTTTCCAATATACAACAGTACCTCACTTCTTGACAAATTGCGGCGATAGCCTTCTGTAAATTTTTCTCAATAAATGATATAAACTGTAAACATATTCTTCGTATTTTTAAATTTTGGTTTCAAGGTTCTATCAGTTATCATCACCTGATATATCATTGCATTGGCGGAAAAGATTAGCATGTTGATGGACCAGTGTATACGAAATGTTTCCACATGAAAGTCTACCAATCTGACTCGAGTATTGAAGTTGACAGTTCGGTGGTGATGTCTGGAATGGTTTCTGTAATAAATCATAACTCTTCAGATCAATGAAACAAACTGTTCTAAATTTTATCGATATCCAGTAATCTGAAAATATAGAAATCAGCTGTATTGCAACAACATTCAATAGAAGAATCGTTTTTTGCTCTGTCATATAGGAAAATGTGACAGATAGAAGCCTCTCAAGCTCGTCTTTTTTTCTAATTCGGTTACATATCTCTTATTTGCTTCTATTCAGAGATTCTCCTCTCGCGAAGAAGAAGCGGATGGGCTCTCGAAAGTTTGCCGAGAATGTGCCCGATGTTTCAACCGACGATGTAGAAAAATCGGAAAACTGGAATAATTCTTACGAATTGTTATCGTGGATGAGAAACGATGAGATCGGATCTGATGCCGTTATGGAAGGACCGTTCGGACCAAGAAAAGTTGTGTACTGCGATTACACAGCAAGTGCTCGATCGTTTTCTTCTATCGAAAAATATATCCAATCAGAAGTTCTACCATTCTATGGAAATACTCATAGTTCAGTGACTGTTACAGCGGAACAGACGACATTGTTCATGCATGAAGCGAAACAAGAAATTAGAGCTATGAGTGGATGTGGAGATCAGGATTCTGTAATTTTCACCGGAAGTGGATCGACTTGTGCTGTTGAGCTTCTTGTTCATTTGTTGCAATCTGAAGCGGGAAACGAAGATGTTGTGGTTATCCATTCGATTCAAGAACATCATAGTAATCTACTTCCCTGGAGGAAGCTAGCTAAAGAGATGCGTAGTGTAGAAGAGCTAGAAAGCGGACACGTGGATTTAGACAACTTGAAAGCTGTCCTAAAAGAAGTAAGAGAGAATCATGGAGACATCAAAATTATTGGAGCATTCTGCGCATGTTCAAATCTCACTGGAGTCCTTATTGATGTTCAAAGTGTAACGAAAATTCTCAAAAGGTTTATTACTTCATGCCAGTAGGTTTTTAAAAGTTTTCTTGTTTTCCAGCTGTAATGCAATTTCTATATGGGACTATGCATCAGCTGCTCCATATATTCCAATCACATTCAACGGAGAAACTCCACTAGATGCTCTATTCTTCTCCGGTCATAAACTTCCAGGAGGTGTCAGCTCACCTGGTGTTCTGATTGTCAAAAAATATTTAATTCAAGCTACAAAACCAAAGAGAATCGGTGGTGGAACAGTCTTCTTTGTGAGTTCTTTTTTCATTTCGAAAATGAAAACCAAAATTGTTCTAGGTCAATGATTCTGATGAATGGTTTTTGAAAGAAGTGGAACATCGTGAAGAAGGAGGAACAGCTGATGCTGTAGGTGCAGTCAGATTGGCGATGGCGGTTAAAATGAAAAGAGCTGTTGGCGAAGAAACAATCAAACAATTAGAGGAAACTATTTCAAGACGAGTCTTCAAAAGTTTCAATAAAACTAACAACTTGGTTCTTCTCGGACCGTCTACAGTTGAAGGTCGTCTTCCTGTTCTTTCATTCTTGATTCGATCCCCAAACAGCAATCTCTTCTTCCATCATAACTACATTTCGGTTCTTCTCAATGATTTATTCGGAATTCAAACGAGAGCTGGATGCATGTGTGCTGGACCTTATGCTCAAAAACTGTTGGGAGTTGATGAAGAATTATCACGAGAATTTGTTAACGCTATTCAAGAATCGCCTGATTTGGACCGTACTCATCTCCGTAGACAGGCAGAGTACTCTCAACAAGAGTTCTTGCGTCCAGGATTCACTCGGATATCCTTTCCGTACTTTTTCACCATGCAACAAGTTGACGATATTGTTTCAGCCGTCGAATTTGTCGCCGAACACGCTTCCGATTTCCTTCACTTGGCAAGTTTTAAACAATTTACTTCTTAGTGAAGAAAGTATTTTCAGTACCAAGTGAACACTGAGACCGGAGAATGGCATCATCAAAACCAACGCGTCTTTCACGGACGACGATGGCTGGGATATATTCAATTCACTCCTAGCGGTTTAAAAACGAAAGCTAAGATTGTTCCAGATGTTACTGATATGAATACGTGTCTCCGTTTAGCACAAACGTTGGCACTGGAAGCATCCCAATCAATAAACCTCTCTAAAATTCCCGATGGAAGAGTCGCTGTGAACGAAAAGTTTCAGAGGCTTCGATGGTTTGTTCTTCCAATCGAGGTAAACTTTTTAGACCAGTTACAATAAAAATCAAACCTTTAAAATGTTCAGATCGCTGAACAGCGTGCAGGAAGAAACAGTCACTTCAAGGCACAGTTTTCATCCCCAGAAAATACTCAGACGTTCCAGTCAAACAGATCCCGGAGATATTGGGCAAACTAGATGAGATCCCAAAGCCTTCTGAGAATGACGCCAAAGAAGAGTCAACTTGCCAAGTTATCTGTGATGACGTAGTTTGCCTTCTAAAATGCGACGATCAATCTACGAAGGCAGGCGCCACTGAAAACGTGGGGGTAGATGAAAGTGAAGCTGAAGATGTGAAACAGATGGAAGATTGGAACAAAAGAGTTATTGTGAAACGAATTGAGAATTTGAGAAAAGAAGAAGAAAGAAAACAAGAATGGCAGATTCCTCCACTGGAAATGTACAAGAAAGTCACCGATGTCATTCATCAATTGAAAATGATTAGAGTTAGTTTCAGTAATGATAACTAGATAACATATTTTTTCTGTTGTTTAGAATGGTGACAAAGTTCTAGTTTGCCTGTCAGGCGGAAAGGACTCCTTATCCCTTCTTCACATTTTAAGGCATTATCAACAGAGGTGCAACAAAGCTAGAAGGTTTAAAATTTAAAAAAAAAAGGATTTCATCTCAAAATTAGTATTTTTTCAGCACTTCCTTCCAGCTTGGAGCAATCACTGTTGATCCTGGATCCGCCGAATTCAATCCAAGACCGCTTATTGAGTACTGTAGAAAACTAAACATCGACTACTTCTACGAGGAGCAAGATATCATCGGAGCTGCTATGAAAACACCGGGACTACGGTCGATTTGTGCATTCTGTAGCCGGATGAAACGGGGAAGACTTGCGGCGGCTGCTCAATTCCATGGATGGAATGTGCTCGCAATGGGTCAACACTTGGATGATTTAGCTGAGAGTTTTTTCATTGCTGCATTCCAGAATGGAAATTTGAGTACAATGAAAGCACAGTATACTACAAAGTGAGATTGATATAATACAATTTTTTCCATTTTAAAATGTTTCCAGAGATAATCAGCTAAGAGTAATCCGGCCATTGATCATGGTTCGTGAGAAGGCGCTTCGTAACTTTGCGGAAGAAAAGAGTTGGCAGTTTAATTAATTTCTGAACCAAATAAGTGTTTTCAGAACTTCCTGTTGTAGCTGAAAATTGCCCAGCTTGTTTCAATCAAGCAACAGAAAGACATCGTATCAAACAACTGCTAGCCCAACAGGAACTAATATTCCCAGATCTTTTCAATTCGTTAAGATCTGCTCTGAAGCCTCTGTTGTTGGTATGTCTATGCATTGAATTCTGTGAACTCTGAACTGATTTCAGGTTGTTTCTGCACATACAAGTGAAATGCGCACCCAAGCTGTTCAGAATATCGTAAATTCATCGTGAATGTCTTGTTGAGGGTACAATGTTTAGTGATAACCAGTTGTTAACTTTTTTTTTCGTTAGTAAAATATATTGTTTGTGACATCGTTATTTGTTGCTTCTTATTTTATAACACTTCAATAAACAACCCAACGTCCTTGGGCAAAACTGAAGGTCTTATCCTGTCATGAGTCTTCCGTTTGATCAAATGGTCAAAGCTCACCCGGAGCCAGTTTCCTGAACAGCTGACGATGCCAAAAAAATGGTGGCAGCTGTTCTGAAGGGTTGTTGTGAAAGCTTCCAACCAGGATCCCTTCAGTCGGTTCATCTGTCGATTCACAAAAATGCGGATCGAGATAATCCTTGTTCTTCTATTCGTGTCTTTGGCACACTCATGCCAAAACTTCGACAAGTACATGAACATGTTCTGCAAGTATGGCGCGGAGACCACTCCGTGTACTGTAGAGAATTGTGAGTTGCAAGGTATTTACCTCAACGAGATTTTTGGTGTGTTCCAGATTCTGCTGAAAAAGCGGCCTGCTGTGCAAAAAATGGAAATTGTGCCTACAGCGATTTCCCAACCAAGAGTGTGTGCTGTTTCACTGACGAATGTCTGAAGAGATGCTATCCAGGAAAATTGCTGAAGAACGGACAAGTCTACTAATCGTTTATTTTCGACAATTATAAAGACATTTTATTGAACCTTCTTTTTTCGCCTGTTCTCGAATGAAAATTATTATTCTCAAACAATAATAAGAATAACAACTGGAAGCCCTGTTTCGCTCGGAGTATCACAAACGAGCCGAGTTTAAAGTGTTCTGAAGCAAATCCTAGTTGATACCAATCCTATATTTATGTCAAAATGGCACGTGTTGTTGTTGTTTTTTGTTGTTGTGTAGTTTTCACTATTTCAAAACCTTCCAGATTTTTTTTTCTAGGTTGTCCGCAATTTTGAGTCTGAGTGTTTGCAGAAGTGTTGTCAAATATGCTGCTGTTATTTTTTTCGTTGCTGTTCTTTGAACAAAAAATGTTTTCGATATTTCTAGTATTTAATTCTGTGCTTTTATTGACATATTTATTTTTTACAGAATATGTCAGAACTGTCAGATGACGAAGTTTCTCTTCAAGCTCTCTTCGAACCTGCGAAGAAATTAATATCCGACATAGAGGATGGCGTTTATACCACAGCCGAACTCCAGCCTCGCCTCAAAACTGGAATTGAAAATCTTCATTCTGTTACAAAAGTAGTCAATCAACTCAAATTGTATTCTTCAAATGAGCAGGTTTGATTTGAAAATGAAAGCTCTCAATAAAGAAAGACATTCTCAGATTGAAGATGTTCCCACAAATTCTCTTCCTTATCTACTGGTTCCTTGTTTTTTGGGAATTTTCCATCAAAATGTGATAGTTGATGCCAGTCTGAAGCTTGACGAGTTGAGAAAGTCCAAAGTTTATCTTCGAAATTTCTTGGATCGACTCAGGAATCTATGCCTAATAACAACGAAGTTGCCATGGGACGATGAAGACACCGAAGTAAAAGACGACGCTGGAAAGAAAACAAAGATGTCTGTTGAAGAAATTCGGCGTTTGAAGTTAGAACGTCACAAGAAAAAACAGGAACTGAAAGTGGCGGAACTGAGAATCAAGAAACAACTTGAAGCGGTTTCCATTGACGAGCAGAATCTGAGAGAGCTATATATTACGCAGCTTCAGTTTTGGTGTGAACGTTCTCACGAAGAACTTCAAGCCATCGAAGGTAATAAGTAATCAATATTTTTCTGAATATGTTTTGTTTCAGACGAGATACCGTTGTTGAAAATGATGGCTGAACGCTCTGCTCATCCAAACAGATACCCGGCTCCATCAGAACCTTTGAAAACTGTTCCTCAATTGAAACCTTTCATCATTACGAGAGACGCTCAACAAAAGCAAGTGTTTGGCGTCGGATATCCAGGCATTCCAGCTATGAGTGTCGATGAATGGTATCATCAGAAATTCGGATGTAACCCACACAATGCGCCACAGTCATCCGCCCCAGAGCCTCAGCAACAGATGGAATCGGAAGAGGAAGACGATGATGAAGCAAGAGCAAAGGCAATGCGATGGGACGAGTATAAAGATGATCACCGTCGTGGATGGGGAAACACACAAAACAAAGGATAATTTGTAATATTAGTAGTGATCTCGAAAGTTGTATATGGCCTTCTTAATAAATGATTTCAAACTGTAGAATGGTTTATGGTTTTTATATTGGTATTGAATTTTCATTCCTTTCTACTTTCCCATTCGTTTTCCCGGATAAAACAAAAAAATTCACAGAAATCTGTTGTGGTGAAATGGCTTTCCGTAAAAGACGTCGTGATTCCGATGGTGATTCCGATGAGGACAGACTTCCGATCGCAAAAGATGTTGACGATGACTTGAAATCTGTAAGTAGTTCTCAAATTGTACATTTTTCACTTTTTCATTCAGGAACCAGCTAAGAAAGCAAAGAACATATGGTCTGATATGCTTCTTGAGGATCAATTGCTTGAAAAGGGTTCAAAAATCAACTTGGATCGATCGTCAAGACATCAACCCAATGTTTCTCGTGGACCTGAGTCCTACATAATGCCACAAGATGAATTTCAAAGAAAACAGGCGAACAAAGGGAAAGAGAAGAGACCTCATTATGATGTAAGTTGTACATAATCTCAAACGTCTTATTTTCGCTAGAAAAAATTTCAGAAACCAGTGGTTCTGGTGACTCCAGCAAGTGACGATTTGTTTGGAGATGCACCTAGTGCATTGGACGAAGAGTTTGGAGTCAAGAAAAGTGAAAAGAAACTGGTAACAGAAGAAGAAGAAAGTGGCTGGTGGGGCAAGAAAGGAGCCAACAAGCGATACCACGATAAAATGGCTCAGGATAGACCACCGAGACCAGCTCATCAACAAAAGAAAACTGCTCAATTGATGGCTGAAGAATTTACTCTTGAAACTATGCTCGCTGCTCAATTCGACAAAGGATCGACTCTCGATGAACTCGGAAATCAGGTTGCTGCTGCGATGGGAGAAAAAGATCCAGACACTGTCAAGAAAATTGTGAATGCTATAGGCCGTGAGCTTGCATTGAAGCTCTTCAATGATACCAAAGAAGTGGAGCAGAACGGTGGTATGAAAGTTGCGGATGGTAGTCGACGCCGTACTCCTGGAGGAGTATTCATCACACTTTTCAAAATGGAACCGTCGGTTTCTCGAGAAACCAAAAACAATATTTTCGACAATATGAGAAATGCTGATAAGCACCGGTCGAAGCAAAAGAAGAAAGCTCAAAATTACTCTAGGCAGCTTGAAGACGTGAGTGAATCAGTATGATAATTGATAATTACTTTCCAAAATTTCAGGTGAAGAAGACAATGGACCTCGTTGCTCAAGCTGAAAGTGATCTCGCAACTGAAGAACTCGGAACTTCGAATGACGTCCCATTCAATGATGATGTCGTCGATATGTGCTAAATATATTAAAATTCCAAACTTTGTTCGCTTCACCACTTTGTTTTTTTTGACTTCACAGCTATATTTCCTGCATCTTACAGTGCTTTGGTTTCCAGTTTCCTGAGCAATTTTTATACTGTAACAATATGGTGATTATTTATAACGCAACCGCTGTTGTTTTCTAGTTGTTTCTCATGTTACATCCACTTTCCTAGCCATATCGACGTTATTGTCGAGCCAGAAAATCCCAAATTGGCAACGATTTGTTTCATTGTGCTCTCAGTATTTATTGGCCACTCTTATTCTTATTTGTCCTTTCTCAATAATTCAAGTTAATGAATGGTCGTATAAATAACCCGCATTTCTCTTGTTAGTTCATAGCCATAAATCGACGGAACGTCTCTTTAGCGGTTATCGAGGTGAAATTGATAACGAAGAAGTCGCGCTGGTTTTTTGTGTTGTTTTCCGTTTTCGCCTTCGTTCGGCCGACCGCCGGTCCACCACACGCATGACTAATATCCTTGACCCTCTGCTGCCTTTTGGCTTCTTCTCCCACCAATTATTATCTCGTTTTTCCCCTTCCAATAATCTTTTTTTGTCTCGTTGTTCATCTTTTCGCTGATGTTATATATCCTCTTCTCTCTTCCCTTCTAATTCGAATCAGCTGATTGAGCGATGGCTATTTAGGTCAACAACATGGATTACGATAGTAAGAAACTCGAGGAAGCTAGAAAGCAAACGATTCGGTATGTGATTTCTGATATCATTACTGGTTTTGACTATTTTTCCGTTCCCACACATACATACACGAGACACATTTGTGAATGATTGATGAATGACATTCCAGATGGGAAACATGGAAGAGAGAGGAGGTCGAGGCCCGTCAAAGAGGGCTCGAATTCAAAATGTACTGGGAGAAACGGCATAAGGAGGATCGTGATGCCTGGAGACTCAAAGTGCGTGAGCTCCATCTAAATAGTTCTGAATGAAGAACCTATAAAAATCCCATTTAGAAAAATCTTCAACCACAGAAACCATAAGATACAATTTCGAAATCCTAGACTACTGTAATCATGTAACAAGACTTTCAAATCTTGCCGACTTCATCTGAAAACCTGAAAACTAAACCCTATTTCGACACAAGTGACTCTAGTTTTATCTCTAATCTCTTCTATTGTGTTCTATGTTTTTGTTCCTGTTGTTATCAGTGTTTTGAAGGACACTCTCCTCGTGTTCGTGTTCCATCGAACCGTCGAGAGACTAATTGTTTTTGTTGTTTTGGGCATCAGAGCACGAAAACAATATACCGTTTATTTTAGGATTTCGCCAATGCCATTGATAAGATGAGTCGTGCTGGATATAAAGGCAAACATGGAGATTTCGAGGTTCCTCCGGAGAGACTCGAGGAGCTAAATGCTCTATACATGCAAGCCACTGTTGGAGATTACGGTAAAATAATAATAATAATAATAATAATTTATTTAATTTATAAACAATCAAGACGAGTTTCAGATGGAAACACTGCTTTGAAGTGCAGTCAATACTGGAAGAAGCATAGCGGAAAGACTCAAATCGAAGCGATCCGCGAGTACATCAAACTTACCAATAAGGTTTTGACCAAGTACGGATGGAATCCACCAGAGGGATGGGTCTAAAATGCCTTCGATTTCGATTGCTTGATCATATTTTTCATTTTTTTTGTCTAATAAAATTATGCATATTCAGAACTGTTTTGAAAATTTTATATAATCGAAATACCGTATTTCCATTAATAGCTCACCCAAAAAAAAAACTGTAAACTTTGAGCTCATTTATCTCAATTTCTGTGAGAGATACGGTAATCCTGGGAAATTTTTGTAGTCCTACGGTCAGTGATTTATACATGATTTTGTAGAACAGAGTCTGAATCCCAGATTTCAAGATCGTTTGATTAAAGTATGATCAACCAGTATAACCTTTTTTAAACCTAGCTTATACATTTTCATAGTTCACTATTACTTTGGAACAAAGGTTGCAGAAGAGAACCCCGGTGGCCGTGGCCGAAGGTCCCACAACGACAACTACCGTATTCTAAAAATACTTTTATTTTCCCGATTTATTTACTAGATTTTCATGCGTTTTCAGTTTATTTTCTCACTACCAAAAAGGTATTTTCCGTATTTTTTTGGAGCGATCAAAAGGAAAAAAACTTACGAAAAGCAATGACAAAAGGGGAAATGGATACGGAAAATATACAGTTTTTAGGTTACTGTAGTTGTCGTTGTGGGACCTTTGGACACGGTCATCAGCGTTTTCTTTCCACAGCTCCGGTTTTTCGTACCAGAATAATATTCGAATTTGTTGCAGAATTCAAATGTCTTCTTTATTTGATAAATGCTTAACCTATTCTTTTTTTATCGTTTGCACATTCAAACGAAAATTTTCTTTGACCCAGACCCACTTGAAACTTTTTTTCGCAAATAATTTTCATATCTGTTGACAAAGTTGTCTACGATTTTCAAAGGTTCCGGCAGTACAAACAACGTATATTTGACATTGACCAATGATGGCAAATGGCAGGAAAAGTATACCAACAGAAGAAGAAGAAGGTGTCACAAATTGTCAAAGCAATATATTACGGTAGTCGCGATTCCGGTTTCTATTTCGGAAAATCCTGCAAGTTGAATTGCTCATTGAATTGTTTTTGTCCTAATTATCAAAATTTCGACCTACATCCAACACTTTTCCCAGCATTGGTTACTGAACTGATCATAGTTTTCCCGCAGACATCACTCTCTCTTCTCCTTTTTTCCACTATCATTCATCCCTAGACTTTCCACTTTTTTGTTCTCGAAAAGGAGAAACGGGACAGAACTTTCTACACCAGTTGCCTGTGATACCCTACTTTCATTTATCTCGGAAAGCATCATCAACAGCAGCAGCATTAATCTCGTTGATTGTTGAATAGGCGGTTCACCCAACATTCAACATACAGGCGATATCTCATACTCGCATCCGAATTTCGCGACGCTTCGAGATGAAAGGAAACGACGCAATCGAGAAGAGAAATGCACTTTTCCACATCGGGACGCGTTGGGTCGAGAGTAGTAGCATTCAGCCGCCTACTCTGAAGAAACGAAAAAAGAAATTCACCCGGCAAGTACAACACCTAGATTTCTATCTTTCAGTGATGTCGAATTACTCAGGCCGCACGTCTTCGCCCTTCTTCGTCGCCACCTTTTTCTAATCGCTCTACGTGACCAGGCACTTCTAAAAACGATTTATTCATGTTGCTGACACGTGTTTCGTCGGAATACAGTAATATCTTCTGAATCTAGCCTGCACGACATCTAAAGAAACCGCGCTTCGTCGTACTTTCTTGTCAGAAAATTGACCCCGTGCCAATTTTGAAATCGAGGTTCCCTTTCGCGATGCCCGTCCTCTGAAATTCGTCTGGCAAATATTGATAATGCGGGAAACCTGGGTGGCAGCAGGGCTGGGTCCAAAACAAGGTGAATATAGTATATAGGAACGAAGAAATATATGCGGAAATGAAGAAAAGAGCAAAGAGAGCCAAAGATTTATTTACTGTCTAGTAGCTGTCCAGAAAAGGAGATCAGTAGAGCACCGAGACTATATCTATATTTGCTCTAACTAAAGTTAAGAGGGGGTGACTCTTCCTTTCTCTTCTCTTATCAAGAGCTCAATCCAAGTGCTTTTCTTTCCATTTATGCAAAACAAAAACATTTTCTCTCTTTCTTGTAGCTTCTCCTCAGATGATCTGAGTCAGATCAGCTTTGTGCCAAACTGTTTATCAATTCTTTTTCGGATAAAATAAAAATATGAAGAAGCAAGGAGAAGAAGAAGAAGAAGTCAGTGAAAGGGATCGTCAATCATTTTGATAGCCCTCCTTGATAAGTTCCGAAAACGAAAGGTCGAAACTTTTTGGGGTTACCTCTCTCCCCGCCACGGAGGTTTCGGAGAAAGTTGCGGTGCAAAGGTTTACTGTAGTTCGTTGCGGTTGCGGCGCCCACCATGTCGCAAAAACGATATGGATGGAAATTTAGAACATTCGACATGACCTTTTTAGATGCGACCTGCTGCATCATCGTCACTCTCTGCGTATCCGCGTACTTTCACAGGTTACTGTACTTTTCAAAGCGAGACGACGACCTGTGTGTGGCGACGGCACAATTAATATAACAGACAGAATATAATGTTCTGTCGCCCCAGCCGGGAATAGTCTTCGTGATCTTTTTTATCTCACAATCGAACACCAATTAAATCTTTTTTTAAAAAATGAGAAGAGAATGTGTTATCTATCTGTCTGGGAGGTCTTCTTTTTGGTACATTGGTAGGGAGTAAAGGTGAGAGGAATTACAGTATGATTAATGAGTTCATGCGCCTGACGACCAAACAAAAACCGGGAAAAAAGTTGGAGAGATCGAAAAACAAAGTAATAAAGGATGCATAAGAGTATATAATCAGGACGGCGCCATAACTGATATCAATAGTTTACCACACTACGATCACATGTGAAACAAAGGTATGCAGATATCCTTGATTGGGCGGAAACGAGCGTATCAGAGGGTATGTAAGGACATTTGTTCGGATTTTTGGACTTTGAGGAATTTAAAGAAATTTTAAGAATAGAGCAAGATGATTTGAGTGTGCAAAATGAAACTTCTACAATAAGACTACAGTATTGGAAAAGATGACCTGGATGAATATAATCTTGAGTAGTATGATTTAATTAACAGAAAAACAGAAAATAATCACCACAAAGTCGAGAACTTAATTTTTTTTTTATGTTTCAGGATTACGGTAGCTTTGTGTCTTTTTTCTAGGAAATTCAATCATTGGAAACTCCCATGAGCGGCAAACTTTTTAACCAGGAAATGACTCAGTAAACACGGAATTCCAAGACTTCAGAGAGCAGAACTCTGACATAATCCTCTGTTACCGTAACCCACTTCCTAACTCCTTCCGCTCTGAAATGAACTAAAACTAATTTACTGGCTCGTAGGTCGACACAAACAAAAAACTAGGAATTTTGCTCATTTATCCATGTTTGTGTGACTCTCCGTGCTCTTCTAACCTTTGTACCCTTTCCTCTTTTTGAAAACACTTCGGTGGAGTCCAAAAAGAGAATGTGTTCGTATGACACACAGGCCCTTGCTTTGTGTCTCCATCCCAAAAAAGTTATACCTTACTTCTAAACATGCTTTTGTGACTAGTTGTCCACACAGTAGAAACCGCCAGGCCACGCCGCAGGCCTCCTTGGTCGCCGCGCTCCTCCGATGCATCATCTTTAGGCCACGCCTCTCCGACGACAGACGACTGCCCGCTCAACGCACTCGTCGCCTTGCTTTTCGGCTGTCGCCTGTGTAGGGTTGTCGCGTCGTTAGGCCCCTCTGCATCAACCATTTCCCTCCCTTGGATTATCAGAAGTTTCACGCGTTCCGAGATTTACTTTGTCTGAATCCCGAGTGCGTTTCTTCTGAAGCCCCCACCTTTTCCCCTTCTATACTATAATGACAAAATGGTCACCAAACGGGTACCCGTTAACTATTGCAATACCTACTCTACCACATATTTATTTGATGCTATCCCTATTCTCACTTGCACACACAGCACCACACAGGACAGAATTACGAACAACATCAAGCAGAGCATCGTCATCAGAAGACACGTCTTTTGATTCTGATGAAGCGTTTCAATTTGTTAAAGTGAGTTTGTTGACTGTTTTCTTTCTTTTCTGGCAGTTGTTTGAGGTTAGAAAATACGGTAACAATTGACGTAGATTTCGAAAAAAAAGGAAGAAAAAGAAGTAATAGAAGGTAAAAAAAGGAGAATGATCAAGTAGAAGGCAACCTATTTACCGCCATGATAGATGTGAATCGATCTTCTTCTTTTTTAAATCATTTAGGCATCTAAATAAGACAAAAAACGAGGGTCTGACCATTATTATCCACTCGAAAAAAACCAACAGACCACTGAACAATCAAACACATTTTGACCTGCTGGGGAGTGAAATTTAGAAAGATAGGGGTGGTAGGAAAAGTGTAATGAAGCGGATGCAACACCATCTAGATTCATTCTGAAGATTCTTCTCTGAAAATCACGTCTACAGAAATCTAGAAACTAGTAGATATACATCACTTTCGTAGTCTGAAGATCCTTTTTCTTTGAAGAAACACTCTGAACCATTTATCACCATACCTCCAACGTAAAAAAACATGGGTGGTGATAAGAAACAGCAAAAAAAATCGGTAGCCTTTAGTCGACCTTTATTCTTTTTCCTCTCCTGGGTATTCACACTATTTTTGTGGTCATTCATAACTTTTTCACACATACGTTATCAACAAGACATGGGGGAAGATCTAATTACTTCCCATCTTTCGGAATTAATAGGTTATAAAGGATTGAAGAATAAATAGAGCATAGTTTTGTTTCTTTCTATCTCTCTATTCCTCTTCTCTCTTCTCTTTCTTTTCCCCAATTCTGCTTAATCGTAAACCGCGAGAAAATTAAACCGTTCCACTCCTATTCTTTTAGATCTGACGTACTACGTATGTGCGAAAAATGCAATAAAAAATTTGGCGGAAAGGTGAAATCGAGAGAGAAATCGAGAAGAGATACAGAACAAAAAAACGTTGCGATATGCCGTTGATGCGCGAAAACTCTTCTCTTTAACGTCTCCGTCTTTTTCTACTTTTTTTTGTCTTTTCGATCGGTCGGTCTCATCGATTTTTGAGAATCTAGTAGACACAATATACTGATTATGACCTTTTCCGATCTGAAACCCAGTTTTCCGGCCAGTTTGGCAATTTATCATTCTCTATTACTTCTTTATTTCTATTTCTCACTTTTTCCTTCTTCTTCTCTACAATTCCGAAAGACATCGTCGGCCTAGTTTCTGTGAGAGACTCTTTTAGAATACAGATGAAGAAAAGATGTGAATCTCGTAGAAAATATAATGATGAATTGGCGCAATAACAGCCATCCCGCACAATTCCCGACAAAAAACTGCTTACGGTCATGTAGGTCAATGGCGGTGCCGAAATGGGAATGAAAATGGGAAAAATTCCATGGGAACTTGAACTGAAACTCTGATTTTTTCAGGGTCAAATGGAGAAGTATGGATATCTCACAGATCAAAAGGAATTCAAAGATGCTCTCAAAGTGTTCCAAGTGTGCAATTGCTCATTCAGACAAATTTATAAGATTCAATTTTCAGGAAGTTCTCGAAGTGGAGCAGACCGGAGTCGTTGATGAGGCTACTATGGAAGCCGCTTCAAAACCCAGATGTACTCAAAAAGATATTGCCAACACTCCGAAAAGATCCAGACGATTCAGTGAGTTTTGTTTGTTTTTTTCCCGACTAGTGCTAATACCAAAAACTGGTTCCGCATCCAACAAGAAGATGAGATTACTGTAGTTCTTTGTCAGAAATAAGATATAGATATACGCTCTCGAATCTTCATTTAAAAATTAAATAAAACAAATGGTTTCAGCCCTTTCAAAACGATCGAAATGGGGAGAAGACCGCTTCACTGGACCATCGACAATCACTTTGAAATGGTACATCTCCGAGTATACCAATGATATTGATCGCATGGAAACTCGGCGAGTTGTGAAGAAGGCTTTCGAGTTATGGAGTTCTCAAAGTTACATTAAACACGAGAAGAAAGTTGCTCTGAACTTTGTGGAAGCCGCATCGAAGGAAGATTCTGATATCAATATTCTTTGGGCTGAAGGATCACATGGAGATGAGTATCCAGTAAGTTCAATGACTCAAAAACAAATATACAGTAATCCTTATTTGCAGTTCGATGGAGCTAATGGAAAAATCGAAGGAAATAAGAAAGAAAACGTTCTTGCTCACACTTTCTTCCCTGGATACGCTTTTCCACTCAATGGAGATATTCATTTCGATGATGCAGAGACTTGGGAAGTCGATGTTGATGAAGTCGGTGGAGCTGGAAACAGAAAACGATTCTTCCCATACGTTTTGGCTCATGAGATCGGTCATGCTCTTGGATTGGATCATTCTCAAAAGTCGGATGCTCTGATGCATCCATACTATAAAAATGTTCCGATTCATGAGATCCAATTGGATGTTGATGATAAATGCGGAGTGATTTGGAACTACGGTGGATCATCGAACTTCTGTTTGTACGTTTGGCTCATGAGTCAGATCATTGAGGCTCATAACAGTTCTGCCCAAAATAGTCGTAAGTGGAAATGCATCATGTTCAAAATAGAACTTGCGATTCTTCAGCTGCTGTCGGCTCGATTACAAGCTCCCGAAATGGAAAGAAACTTCTGAAGAGTGAGTTTTCTTGATTTATACTTATCCATCTCCCCTCTCAAAAAGTGCGTTTCGGAGATAAACGAAAAAAAGTAAAAAAATGTTTGGTGCCTTAATTGTATTTACGGCAGAACAAAATAGTGGGTAAAAAGTAAAACAAGTATATCCTCATTCTTATTTGATGACGTCGTCGGGTGATGCGCGTAAGAGATATTGTAACTTTAGATGGTATCATCTCTTCTGGTATTGGACAAATAGAAGAAACCTGTGAAAAAGAAAAAAAATTGTTTTTTTCAGATGCCAAAATTCCAAAATGCTCAATTACCAATTCGAGTCTACGAACAAACACTGAAAAGAAGCTCACTTTTGGATTGCAGTTGAGTGAAAGTGATGCTAAACATTACAGTAAGTTTATTGACTTCAGAAAAAAAACAATTTTTATATTTTTTTTCCTTTTTTAGCTGACATCGTGTGCAACTTTCTTGCTGGTCTTCATGTATGGCGAGCTGGCTCCGCCCACAATCCAAATGAGTCCTTGGAAAAAGAATATAAAGGAGTCGTCCAGGAAATGTCAGGTTTCGGTGGACGATCATCTATATCAGTTCGACGGTTGATCCGGCACGCAGAACATGAAAAACAAGAAAGCAGAAAGGGTCCTTTAGGTGAGTATCAGATACATATTTTTAAAAAATTGAAAACTAGAATCCAAATGTTTTGAAAATATACCACTACACGGCCTTGACGATTTGGTAAGGAACTGTTTTTAAGATCAACGAGTAGAGTATATGGTTTAGTTAGACTGGTATATATCGTTAGATCTCATGTGTTTTTGAAATTAATCGGATGTTACACCTGAATGCGTTTTTGTTTACCAAACTGATCCAAAATTACGGTAGATCATTCTTGGGCATACTTACCGGCGGGCCGATTGTGGGCCGGCTCTGGCCGGCTGATAAGTCGCTTCAAAATTAAAATTGTGAGCAAAATAACATACCTGATCGGGAAGCTATACATCCTCCAATAAGAATCCATCAGCATTAAAATCTGTAATCGGCAAATAAATGGAAACCCGAACCGCAATATCGCTTTCGAAGCCGGTCGATTCTTTTGAAGAAATTATAGCTTTCCAAACTCTATCATCTGATATGCTGCTTGGCTTACTATTTCAAATTTGAAGCGAGGTATCAGCCGACCTGTGTCGGCCCGGAACCGGCTCGTCGACAAGCATGTTCTAGGGAAATTTTTAAAAAACTGACAGAATTCGAAATTTAACTTTTGTCATATTTTCAGATCCCGAATACTTCGACGACGATTTTTTTGAACAGTTCTTCATGAATTATACGTGATTCTTCAATCACCAAATACACCTTCATTAGTCGCTTATTTTGCTAGCTGTCTTAGCTTCTCTCCACACCTTTTTTGTTCACTTTTTTCACACCCTCCCATGTAGAATACTCACATTCATTTCCAGTACGGTTCTTGACGTTGTCGCACTCCACACAAACACGAACACCCCACACAAACCCCTTCTCCAGATCTTTGAAACCTGTTCCCCCAGTGCAATTCAAAAAGCACCTCTCTCTCTCTCTCCAATCCGTTTGTTAACTGCTCCCCTTCATATCATTATCTTACGGTGGTTTACGAGTGATGATCTAATTTAATTTACTAAATCTCATAATAATTAATTAAATAATTAATAATATTTTTTAGTGGATACTGCTGTGTATGATTGTAAAATTCCCCCCCCCCCCCCCCATCTTTTTGTTCTCAATCCTCTAACTCACCTCACATTTTTTCAGCATATTAAAACAGTTCATTTTCATTTTAATATTATTATTTTTTGATTTTCTTCTTTCTCTCAACTTCTTCATACTTATTCATGTTTTTACGACAAGAATGCGTCCCAACTTCCTCCTTTCCCCCCGTTTTTTTTCTCGAAAACCATTTAGATCCGAATTGTTTTGTTTGTTTCAACTTATCATAATCCTGGTGTACGTACTAAGATCTCTTCCTCCGTTTTGACCTTTTTCGATGGTTGTTCGAAATTTTCTGTATATGTGGTGGGATTTTCGCAAAATGTGTACTTTTTGCTGTGCAATAATTTCTTTAGCTTTTATCTTCGTTTTCGGTGTTTTCCAAAAAAAAACAATGATGGCAATAAAAATTGACAAAACTTTAGTGAACATAGTTGCAACACAATAAAAGAATAAGAAATTCTGGTACAAAAAACCGGAGCTGTGGAAGAGGAAATCAGGTGGCCGTGTCCGAAGGTCCCATAACGACAACTACCGTAACCAGAAAACATTCTTATTTTCCGGATTCATTCTCTCTATTTTCGTGCGTTTCAGTCAAATTTTCTTTATCAAAAATTCTAATGTACCGACTTTTTTGGTGAAAAATAACAGAAAACTCGGCGGAAATCAGTGAAAAACGAGGAGAAGAAGTTCTCAGAAGAAGTGATCTGTGATCGTACCGCTCGAGATTTTTTGTCTTGCACTTTGATTGGGCAAAACACACAAATCACTCGTTATCAGGAAGGGTTGTAAATTTTTGAACTTTGCTGATAAACACTCCGTGGCGAAAGTCGAAAAGAGATAGAAAATTGATGATTTGAATGGATTGAAATGGAAAAGCGATAAAAGATACGGTACTTTTTTCTTTTTTTAAATGTAGGTTGATGTCTGGTATGGGGTGGGGCAGGTATCATGAGACGGTTGCACTTTTATTTTTTTAATGAATTTCTGGACTTTAAGAATTCTAAAAGTCTATATAGAGAAAGAAAACATGTGATTTTGAAACTTACCCTTTTGGACTGAATCGCGCCTGTTCTTTAAACGATATTATAATCAAGAATGTAGGCCAATCTATGCTTGTTCCAGAATTTGGGAATAATCAAAAAAATTAAATGAAGGCACTAAAAATGTGTGGAAAAACCCACTGTGACATCATTCGACTTTTGGAATCTAACTAGTTTCGTAGTTTGTATTTGGTGACATCTTTAAAAGATGCAATCACTTATCGTTTGTACTTTTTTGAGAAAGGAAAACCACGCGTCTAGAATCTTCAGATGAGATACCAATCCTCGAGAGAATGTAATGGTACTCTTCAGCCCTTTAAGAAGTTGTCAAGATTTCGAGATTTCGAGAATGTTCTTCTTTTCTCTGATGTTTAGGATAAGATTATCTAAAATAGATACTATATTTCAGTCACAAAAAGAATGTTGGGTTGGGCAAATACAGGGATCTTTGTTATGAAAATGATTGTATAAAAAAGAAAGTTTTTTTATTTTTGTAGGGGGAATAAAATACCCTGAAATGAAAGGGAGGGTCAAGTTGCAATGTTAGGAATGTCAAGTTTGAGCTAATTTATCTCAGTTTCTGTAGAAGATATAAAAAATGGGTCAACTGATAAAATGTTTCTGATATAATGAAAAATAATTTATCAGTTTACAGTTTTCTTCTTCGGCAACCCAGAAAATCTTTGGCAGGAACCGAGAAAAATTGGCTCAAAGTTGAAAGTAGCACAATTTTCAAGAAGTTTTGAAACAACAGACAGCTAAAAAGATTATTATTCAAAAAAAACGCGTAATTTTTTACACGTAATGTTGTCCCACTGCCATGGTTAAACTGATAAGATCTCCAAAATTTGCTATAAATTCTGGTGAAATCGAAACCCTCAATCACATTCGAATACTTCGAACCAAACGATCGACCATGACATCTGCTTATTTCGGAGTCGCTGGCGGTGGCAATGCTGGAGCACAATCGGCTTACTTTGGAGTTGGCGGAGGACCTGCTGGAGGAGGTGGGGCTCCTAAAATGGGAGGAGGAGGCGGTGCACCACCACCAGGAACATCGTGCTACTTGGGAGCTGGAGGAGCCGGAGGAGGCGGTGGCGGCGGTGCTCAATCCGCATATTTCTCTGTTACACCAACCGGAGCTGGAGCCGCACCAGTCGGAGGAGGAGCTGCTTTCGCACCACCACGTAAGCAGAAAGAATCAAAAGTTAAAAGAAAAGTAATTTTAAATGTTTCAGCCGCTGCTGGTGGCGGAGCATCAACAATGACAGCTCTCGGAGGAGCACCATCTGGAGCATCGACAATGACCGCAGTTGGAGGAGCACCAAGAGGAGCTAGTACTATGACCGCCGTTGGAGGAGCCCCAACTGGAGCTTCCACCATGACTGCTGTGGGTGGAGCCCCAACCGGAGCCTCAACAATGACTGCCGTCGGAGGAGCCCCATCTGGAGCTTCGACCATGACTGCCGTTGGAGGTGTTCCATCTGGAGCTTCCCCAATGACTGCTGTTGGTGGAGCCCCATCTGGAGCTTCCACCATGACCGCCATTGGAGGAGCACCACGTGGAGCCAGTACCATGACTGCTGTCGGAGGAGCACCAATGGGAGGTAATGGGTATTTTGAATTTGTTCCGTAGTTAAAATGTTTTACTTGCAGGAACATCAACTATGACTGCAATCGGAGGAGCCCCATCCGGAGCTTCCACCATGACAGCTGTGGGAGGAACTCCATCTGGAGCCTCTACCATGACTGCCGTTGGAGGAGCACCATCTGGAGCATCGACGATGACTGCTGTCGGTGGAGCACCACGTGGAGCTTCCACAATGACCGCTGTTGGTGGAGCCCCAATGGGAGGAGGTGCCTCTACAATGACTGCTGTCGGAGGAGCCCCATCCGGAGCCTCAACAATGACTGCCGTTGGAGGAGCCCCAAGAGGAGCTTCCACTATGACAGCTGTTGGAGGAGCCCCAGCAGGAGGACCAAGCACCATGACTGCTGTCGGAGTTGCTGCTGGAGGAGGTGGAGCTTCCGCTCTCGGAGCTGCCCCAGCTGGATCTATGGGAGGAGGTGGTGGCGGTGGAGCCACATCCGGATACTTCGGTGTCGGACAAGGAGTGATGGGTGGAGGTGGAGCCGCTGGACAGTCGGCATACTTCGGAGTTGGAGGAGGACCAGCTGGAGGTGGTGGTGGAGCCAAGACTGGAGGTAATTGAGTAGTTGAGTATTTGATCCGAAATTCTGAAATTCCATTACAGGAGGCGGTGGAGGAATCCCGGGACAATCAGTGTATATGGGAGCTGGAGGAGCTGGAGGAGGCGGTGGCGGTGGCGGAGCCACTTCTGCTTACTTCGCACCAAAATAAGAAGGAAGAGACACTTGGTCATAACTCTTATAATTGTGAATAAAAGTGTTCATATTCAATTTTTTATGTCATTCTTTCCCATAACAGTGAATAAAAAGCGGCCCGTTATCCACCAGTCGCATCTTTTCCACAAGTATGCTCTCGATGATCTCCATCGCCACGAACGTGGTGGCCGGGGTAGTAGGGGGCAGGTGCCAGGCGCCCCTCTGTGTTTCAGGATACGTGAGGAAAGCCCCCGAGATCATGGGATGTTCCCGGGTTCTTTCTGAGGAGTCTGAAGTGGAGACTGCGGATGTTCGAGTGAACCGAGGGGTTTTGGCAAAAAAACATTTTTTTTCCGTGCGTCTGATCAGCCAGATCAGTCAGGACGCGGGGGTCAGGACGCTGGAATTGTGGGCCCGTTTCGGCTGACTGGATGGCCGCTACGGTGGATGTAAGTTGCGAAACATAGAAAAAATTATCGTCGGCTGAAGCCACAACTTGGCTGAGCAGCGAAAACAGCTCAATCTTCGAAGAACCTTGAAACTTTTTGTCTATAAAAATATTTTTCTCACTTGGGTCCAAGGCAACGGGTCAAAAACGCGCTCCAATCAACGAGTTGCAACGCGTAATTTTTAAAACCCTCAGATAATTCAGAAGCGATTTTTTTTTCTAAAATCTCACGTTTACTACTGGGGCGCAATTTCTGACCCGTTGCTTTACACCCAAGTGAGAGATTACATTTTTAAGGATTATTGTAGGTTTTTCGATTGGAGGTTTTTGTACTATAGAGCTACAGTAGTCTGAACTACAATAATCAAGTTGGAAAATTGTTAGAAAACCTACAAAAATACTACAATAATCAACTGTTCATTCTCACTGTAATCATAAAAATTCGTAAATTGAAAAAAAATTCAAAATCTACAGTAATCTACATAGTTCTTGGAAATTTCCATTTTTAAGAACTACAGTAGATTTTTGAATTCTGACTGTATTTTCTTTGAAACATTCGTGATTACTGTATAACATATAACTATAGTTAAAGAAACTCCAAAATCTGCAGTAATCCTTACTAGGGAAGGTTGTGAACTTAGGTTGGAATTTCGGGTCGAGATTCGAAAGCGAAAGGTTGTCATTCGAAAGCTGAGAACACACCCTTTCCGAACCTGTTTTCCGTTTTCGCTGCGGACCTACCAGTTTCGAGAAAAATAGGTTTTGAATTTGGGTTACTCTGGATTTTTTACTGATTTCTTCAATTAAAATGGGAATTTTGGATCGCGTGAACACTAAATCCTTAAATACAATTGAAACAATAGAAAATGTCGATTGAATGGCTCAGTGGTCTAAATTTAAAACTAATTTTTCTCGAAACTGGTAGGTCCGCAGCAAAAACGAAAAACAGACTCGGAAAAGACGTGTCCTCCGCTTTCGAATGATATAGGTCTCGACCGGAAACTCCAACCTAAGTTCACAACCTTAGTTAGTCATTAGAATTTCAGACAAACCGTAATCTACTGGGATTGTTTAGTTTCTAAAAACACAGTAATCATCGATCTTCATAGTTTCACTAAAAAACCGTAACCCAAACTACAGTAATCTTCGAGATTGGAAAATTTTTGAAAATCTCCGTAATTCTGAACTCGGGATTTTCCAAACCTACAGTAATCCTGAAATCCAAAAATCTCGAATTTTAAAACTACATTAATCTATAGTAATCCTAAGCTACAGTAATCCAGAAATAAATAAAAATGTGTTTATCTAGTATCAAAGTTTTGGTCCATTTTTCGAAAGTGATTTTTTTCGGAGTAATTTAAAAACACTTTTCTATAAAATTAAGAATTTCCACACCTTTTACCTAAATTTTGTTATATTTCAGAAGTGACACAATGACTTTGTGAACCAAGTTTTACGGTTTTCTAAAATGCTTGAAAACGTTTCCTGGAAGTTGACCTAACTCAAAATTTCGTTTAAAACTTTTTTAAATTTAAAGTGTTAATAATTTTTTTATAACGTCATAAAAGAAAGTTATTTCCTGAAACTTCTGAAAAACGTTCCTGAGATTTTTTTCTGATTTCCACAGTACTGGCGAATATAAATTTTAGATATATGTTTATTAGAAATCACAAAAAAGAGAAGTGAAAACAAAATTGAACAAAAAGAGAAGAAAAAAAATCGAAAATATTTGGCAGTGAAAGTTTTCTTTTCAAAAGGCTTACTGTAAATTGAGCAGTGATTCTTTTGGGATATGATGAGTCAGGATCTAGCACCAAAAAATGAAAAAAAAATGGAGAAAATATTAAAAATATACATACTCGAACGGGGGTTGGGGGTCAGAAATCAATAGAACTAGAAAAGAAAAAGGGAGGGAGAGGGAAGGGAGGTGGATCCTAAATCGTAGAAAAGGTAGATATGGAGCACTTGGGTTTTCTGGGATTGGGGAAGAAATATTGGATAGAAAATTTGGATTCTGATTTTTGAAGCACCGAAAAAAACTAGAAATGACAATTTAAAAGCTACAAGAAAAGTAGAAATGTGGCAGTTTTCATTGTGTAGATGGATGGTTCTTAACGACTTGAGTGTTCCTCTTTATGGCTTCTGTAATACTTCTCTTCTACGACATCTCCTTGTCCACGGTCTGAAAGTTTTGAGAGTTAAAGAATAAACAAGCGATAAGCTTCAAGAATTACCATTTGAAGAAGATGTGTAATTGTTAATACGGGCAATGGTGGTGTCAAGTGGCTCTGACACAAGATCGATCAGTTGTTCCGCCCATTTTCCGGATTTATCTTCTAAAAATTCTTAATTATGATTTGTTTATTGAAATAAATCTAGATTTTTTCTGGGCAGAAACAACTTTTGTTCGGATTAATTCAGCGTTTGAAAATAGTGATCTAAATCTATAGAACTCCATGCTAATTAAAAAATGATTACGAACGTTGGGTTGCAGAAGAGGAAGAAGCAGCACCTGCAGCAGTGGCTCCGGATGTTTGGGTGGCACCGCTAGTTGCTTGGGTTTGAGTTACATTTCTTGAGGATTGGAAGGTGTCTGAAAATCAGGGGATTCATGCTGGGAAAGTTAGAGCTTCTGTACATGTCATACCATGCTCTTAATAAATCAAAAATATTAGAAAAATGAACAAACCGTAATCGTAGTTGGAGTATCCTCTGGCTCTCGAACGCACTGTATCATATGCGTTGGTATCAGAACCATATCCAGCGGAAGTGGTGCCACGTGGCGTGGCTCCACGGACATCTGGAGAACGGCTCAAACTATCCAACTCCTTTGTCAAAGTGTGCAGAGCATCACGTCTGGCATAAGGAGTTGATGGTCCTGGACGAGAACCGTCTAAAAGTGTCTGACTGGCATACCGCCGCGGGCTTCCAACATCCGATCGAGATCGGTAGTTGTAGCGTTTCGCATAGGTATCAGTGCCAATCTGAGCGTCTTGAGCTGCTCGAGAAAGGTATGAAGATCCGGCGTGCGACATATGGTGACGGGAACGGCTGAGAGTTCCACCGGTTTGGAGATAAGAAGAGGATTGATGGGCAGCTTCTACAATGCAATGTTAGGATTAAGGAGAAGAGAGAAGAAAGATACACACTCAATTAAGAGGTTGCAATTGAAATCTTGGATGCTATTTAGAAAAAGTAACACATTTCAAGAATCGAGAAAAAAAGTGTGACATTCAAAAATACATACCTCTGTTGGCAGCCAAAGCGGACGCAGAAAGTGATCTTCTGTTTCTGCTCAATGAGTTGTATCCCTCTTCGGCGTCTTGTTTCAAATAGTCTCCTGGCTGAAAAGGGATTCAATGCATGCATCTACATCCTCATTAACTTACCGTGTAGTGTCTTCTCAATGTGCTTCTGCGTGATGTGCTTCCGATTTCTTCGAGCTCCTGAGCCAATTGAGCTCCAGTAGATGTCATAGTGGCTCCTTCTGGCTGTTGGTTGTCTGAAAAAAGTTATTGAGAAGAGTTTTAAAAAAACTAATCAGAATGAGCCAAATCTATTCCGAAAAAAAACTCACAAACGTGATATATCTTGGTGGAATGAATCTCATCTCCCTTGGTCTTCTCAAGAGAAGTCAATCTCTCGGTGAGTTCAGTCAATGATTGCTGGAGTCTTCTCGAGTCTTCGAATCTAGATCTATCTCCAACACGAGACGATGCTCCTTCCTTGAATCCATCAACGTATCCTTGCTTGAAATCTTCCTGTCCAGCATATTGTTCATCAAGACGAGAAACCAAAGATGGGGTGACACGGTCTCCGAAGATTCCAGAGTTTCCATCCTTGTATCCTTGAGCGAATCCAGCAGAGTATCCTCCGCCAGTTCTCTGAGCCAAGTTATGCATTGAAGTGGTCATTCCCGTCATTCCAGCATCCTTGAGCCCCTTGACATATCCCTCATGGAAACGATCGTCACGGGCTCCGTACTCATCATCCAAACGTCTTCTGGCAGCGTTGGCACTTCCCAGTTTGTTGGCATCCTTGTATCCCTTCATGTATCCATCTTCGAAATCTCCACGGGCTGAAAAAAAGGGTTCAAAGTTTCAGATTCTTTGCATTATCCATTCAACTGGGTGTGGTGTCAAATGGCCATCAACATCATCATCATCTATCAAAGTCGTTTCTCTTCTCGTTAATTCTCAATGACCACATTACACCACACCCAAAAAATAAAAGGAAACGGAAGAAGAGTCTAATCAAAAATCGATGAATCTCACCTCTTCCGTCGACAGCTCCTCTCATTTTGTCAAGACGAGATTCCAATTGTCTCATGTTCTCGTTCATTCCAGCCTTTTGCTCTTCAAGAAGTGGAGCATGTTGCCCATTGGTCACCAATCGGCTGTGCTCTTTTCTTGAACGATGACGACTGAAAATTTATATAATTAGAGGGATCGGAGGAAAGGAGTTCAAAAAGAGTACGGTATTTAAAGGTTCCAAATTTCAGAGTGGCGGATCTATCACTTCAGAAACTTTAGTTACCGTACTCTTCTTAAGCATGCAACTAGTTTTGAGTTACTATGAAACCTGTATTCGAAGGGACCCTTTTATAAAAGAGCCCTCTGAGAGGTACCTTGGAATAATATCCAGCTCTTCTAATACGGGTTTTACGGTACTTTCAATACATAGAAACTTATTCGAAAATAAAGAAGATTAGTTTGAAAAGGGGGGAAAAGTATTAACCGTTGAAGACACCAAGGAATACAACAGCAGAGAAGAGTGAGAAGAAGAGCAGCAAGAAGTGGGAGCAACAGCCACCACCATGGCCACGATGATGTGATGTATGGAGATGCTGAAATGACATGTTAGATGGTAATTAGGGGGAAAATACATTCCAGAGATTGGGTAGAGTTAATTTTTAGGTTTCAAAAAAACAACGCCATGCTCTTCCAACTAACTCTTTGCAATATTTATAAACCATCCAGATCAAACAACAGAGAACGAGAAGACAGATGATTGGAAGGAATATCCAAAGGAAGTAGATTTGGTTGAATAACCAATCCCAACCACGGACATCTGTATATTTTCAGATTTTGACTGTACAAATACTCACCATCGGGGTACGCTGCCATATCTAACAACTACAGAGTAATCAGTCACTATTTACTCACAAAATAATCAGAAGTCAAAATCAGTGTGAGAAAAGAAGGTGGGCGAAGGCCACACGGAGAAGAACAACCACACCCAAAAGAATCTATTTTTCTTCTTCTTCTCTTCCACTCTCTCTTCGCTTTCTACCTCTCTCTAATATCAATCAAAGCGTTGCTTTCCATGTTATCATTTCTACAACACAACCTCCTTTCCTCTTTTCTCGACCCTTTTTGGAGAAAAGCGAAGAGAGATGGGGTTATTGTTTGATTCGCATTATTTCTCGCTCCACTCTCTCTTTTTCCATGTTTCTCTTTTTCTTATAGCAATGCGTTTTGTTTGATTATCTAGGTTGAAGTGTGGCGGAACCCATCGGAAAGGAGAAATAAATGTTTTCAGGTTGAACGGAAAATTATAGGCTTGCCAAGACTAATTTGGTTTTTTTTTCAATGTGTTCGCGACTTGGGGTCGTTCGGATAAAAGTTGGAAAGTAGGCGCGGCTTACTATTTCTAATTGGAACGAAAACTGATGCCTATTTAAAATTTGGAATATTCTGGAAAAATGATTTTCTGTTCCCGAATTTTCTGACATCTTATTTTCATCAGCCCCACCCTGAAATGTGTCCCCTTCCAACATACCTCTGAGTCTTCCGACCAATGGAGCACCAGTGACATTCCAAATCGTATACACCTCATAGTTGTATTTCTTTCCTTTGACAAGTGGATAATTCAAGTATCCTCCAATCACACTTCCGTCTCCAATTCGAACCTTTCTTGGCTCTGGCAGAGTTTCCAAATTGAACGAGGCAGCCACGTAGTATGGAATCTTCATCTTGTTGGCTGTCACCTTATCAGTCAACTCGGTCCAATTGGTATCTCCTGGTGGATCACGCTCATCAACGACGACATAGTAACGGGTGACATTGTTTTCAGTAGCAGCTGGATTCACATCAACTTCCCAGAAGGTTCCTGGAGCTCCGATGTTGTCGACGAAGTATGGTGGTGGAACGATGCAACAACTACGACGGATCTGAAATAAATTCATATTGGGCGAGATTTTCAGATTAACAATTACATTGAGTGGCTCGCTGCTGGTCATCTTCTTTGGAGCCGACTTCCAGTGATTCCATTCTCCATCAACCTTGGCGCGAACCTGAAATTTTTGAATAAAAATCTTAATTTACTTGAAAAATAATTTTCATACCTGGAAGACGTATTCAGATGGGTTATGTGGAAGGTTGAACACAAGATAGCAGAGTCTTCCACATCCATCCTTTGGACACAAAAGTTCCTTAGCTGGTCGTGCCTCCTCTTCAGTCCAGATTCCATCGTGTTCCTTGACTCTCAAATATCTAACTTGGTAGTCAGATGCCATATCCAACTCGACTGGTTCCCAGGACATTGATACAGCGAAATCGGTCTTGTCGCACTGTTTCAGATTCTTGACGACGAACCAACCAGGTGGAAGGGTGGCATATGCTCCCCAGGCGACTTCGTTGTGATCCTTTGGAGTGAGAGTGACATTGTAAACTGTAGATGGATGAAGTCCACGAATGACGAACTCAGTTTGAGAGGCGTCCACGTCGAAGCTCTTGATTTGTTGGAGTCGGACGTTTCCGTAGACGGAATAGAGAGTGCGAGCAGTAAGAGTGTATCCGGAGTGAGCACGTCCCCAAACTGGTTCCCAAGCAACATTCAAAGTGGTTGGAGTTCTGTTGAGAAGACGAAGGATGTGTCTTTGTCCTGGAGCAAGAGTACTGTATGTTCCCCAGAGAATATGTCCGTATCCAGAGTTGGTTCCGGCTTGGACAGTGATGTTGTAGATGGTTTCTGGGCGAAGTCCCTCGAATTTGATCGAGTTTCCTGGATATGGAACAGTATAGTTCTTGGATGGTCCAGTCTTTCCGGTGGTTGGATCGAATGGAGCAATGGTGACACGATGGTGTGTGATGAGTTCTCTCTGTTCTGGATCGAAGATCTCTGGTGGCACCCAATCGACATGAAGCATGGTATCACTCTTTTCGATGAGATGGAGGTCAGTTGGAGCTGGAAGCCAGCTAAGAAGTCCCTCGGCGAAATCGGTGGTGGAGAAGACAGAAGAGATGAACCAAAGTTTGTTTCCTTCGGAAGTTCCTTGAACGGTGACATTGTATTGGGTGACGGAGTCCAAGTTTCTGAAGTGATAATCAGTAGTGTGTCCACTGACATCGAACTTCTTTGGATTCTGATCAAGAACTGAAGCCACAGATATGAAGAGATCGTATTTGTCGATCTTCTCTCCGATGACTGCTGGTGGTGTCCATTTGACCTTCAAATTGTCATGTCCTGCGGAGAGAAGCTTCAAGCTTCCACCCAAAAGTTCATTGTCGTCGTTTCTAGTAGTGGAGAAGTAATCGGAAGACCATTCTCCCCAGTTTCCAGATGAAGATTGTCCTTGAACTGCGAATCTATAAGTAGTGGATGGTTGAAGTCCCTTTATTGTGGCACAGAGATTGGCAGATGTGATGATTGGACTCTTGTATCCACTGCATGTAAGTTCATCTCCAGATAACTCGACTTCTGTTGGATTCGAGTCGTCGGCTCTAGGACTGTATCGGATTCTGTAGGCGGTAACGATAGCTTTTTCTGGGTATGGTGGAAGCCAGGTGAGTTGGATTTGTGTGGCTTTGGTTTGAACAGCAGTGAGTTCTCTTGGCGGTCCAAGTTCACTACCAGTGGTTCTGATTTCAAGAGAATCCGACCATGGTCCTGGTCCTTCGGCTGTGTAGGCACGAACCTTGATACGGTAGAGACTTCCTGGCTGGAGTTGATCAATCAGAGTGTTCTGACGGGGAGTAACTCCTTCACGAGTACCCTCATTCCACTCATCCAATCCAACCAATTCAAACTCGTATTGAGTGATGTTTCCATTTTGTTGAACACATTCTGGAGCATCCCACTTGAATCCAAGTTCGCTATCCTTTCGGACAGTCGATTGTAAGTTCTGTGGTGGTCCTGTTGGAACGTCGTTCTTGGTGCGGAAGGTTCTGACAGTCTTGGGAGTGACGATGGACGAATGAAGGGATGGTGGACGTCTTGGAGTGACAGTAACCTCGTAGAGGGATCCTGGTTGAAGGTTCTCCAGTGGAATCTGTTTCTCTTGGACATTAAGAAGCGTGACTGGTTCCTTGGCTCCAGTTTGTACTTCATTACATCCTCCAAGTTGTTTGAGCTTGTAGGTGATATCAACTCCATAGTTCCATTTTTGATCCTTATCCGGCAATTCCCATGTAACCAAAGCCTCTCTTGGTCCCTTTGGTTCAACAGTGACAAAGATTTCTCCAGGAAGTGATTGAGTGGTGATGCTGACTTTATCACTCCATTTCGAGAATTGTGGTTTTCCCATATCCTCAACAGTCTGGGTTCTGATCTTGACATCCCATTTGGTTCCTGGCTGAGTTGGAACAATCAACTCTGATGGGGCATCAGTGCTGACAGTCCAGTTTCCACGAGAAGTAGTGTTGACGAAATCGATAAGATATTCAACATTGTCACATCTCCATGTGCTCTCATCTGGTGGAGTCCAAGTGATCTTCAGGGTTTCAAAGTCCAAACTTTCGAGTTTTAATCCCTCTGGTGGAACCTCTGGCTTTCCACAAGAAGTGGTCTCCTTGGTTTCTGGTCCTGGTTGTCCTCTCTTATCATTCTTTCCAACAACACGAAGACGGAAGAAATACAAAGTTGCAGTTTCAAGTTGTTTCACAGTGATCTTGTAGTCTTGAGTCGACTTGCGATGCTTCACAACTCCATTGTATTCTTGCCATTCAGCATTATCATCTTCTGATTTGAATTCAAGGACGTATCCGACGACGTGAGTGGCTTGATCTTGTGGAAGTCCTTCCCATTTCAATGAGATCGAGTTGGAAGTCTTATCAGTAACCTCAAGTTCTCTCTCCAAAACTGGAATATTCTGTTGTTGAGTTCTCGATGTCAGCTCATCCGACCACTCGGACCAGCCTCCTCCTTCGGTATGCGCAGAAACTTGGATGTCGTATTCTTGTTCTGGGTCCAAATCGCTGAGTCTATAGCACAATCTGTCTTTCTTGTTCGAATCGGAGCATTCCAATCGGTCAGTCTCCACTCGGATCTCCCTGTAGTTGGCTTCTCCGGTTGGAGTGTATCTGACCTTGTAGAAATCAACATTTCCGTGTGGTGGAGTTGGTGGAAGCCATGAGATTTCAATCGCATGTGGGAATGTGGCCTCTTCTTGAAGATCAGTTGGAGCAGGTGGGTTTGTGGATTGAGTGGTAAATGGAACCCATTCACCGAATGGTCCCTCTCCTTCCTTATTGATTGCTCTAACTCTGATTTGGTATTGAGTGTATGGGATCAATTGATCAAGGTTGAGACGTTCAGTTGGATTGTGTCCAGTTGAGTTGTCTGCCCAAGTATCCATACTCCACAGCTCGTATTCGTAATCAGTGATCTTTCCATTTCTTTGCTCGCATTCTGGTTGAGCCCATGTGACATCAGCTCTGGATGAAGTGATAGATCCAACACGAACATTTTGTGGTGGTCCAGTCGGAGCAGCCTCTTCAGTTGTGACAGTGACAACAGAAGATTGTGGTCCAGCATGAGAAGTGTGAGCAACGACGTGGATCTCATAGGTGGAGTCTGGAAGAAGTCCTTCCAAAGTTTGTTCTTCATTTCTGACGTGCTTCTCAATTGGTGCAGCACTTCTTGGTCCACATTCTCCGATAGATTTGAGCTTGTAAGTGAGAGTGTATCCAGTGATAACTCCATTTGGATCACGTGGTGGCTTCCATCTAACGACAACACTTGTTGGTCCTTTTGGCTTGGCAGTTAGATCTTCAACTGCTCCTGGAGCTCCTTCGGCGGTTGTAATTTCCAATTCCTTACTCCATTCGGAGGATCCAGCGTCGTTTTCAGTACGGATTCTGACAATCCACTTAGTGTTTGACTTCGAATCGAAGAGATGTTCAATAGAAGAGCTTGGAAGATCGATTTGCTTTCTTGGTTGAGTTCCATTGATGTATTCCAACTTGTATCTGATAGCAGAACACTTCCATGAGTTTTGATTTGGTGCTTGCCATGAGACACGGACTTGCACATTGGATGGAGAAGCCAAGTTGAGATTGGTTGGTGGCGAAAGTGGGGCAGCGCATCCGGTACGAGCTTGAGCTTCAGGGGATGGTACTCCGACTCTCTGGCGGTGATCAACAACCTTGATTCTGACAAAGTAGAGAGTGTCAGAATCGAGACCAGTCAATTTCTTGAAGTAGGTGGATTTAACAGAATCGTGGTTGGTGACTCCTCCGATTTCTTGCCAGACTGGAGTGTCGGAATTTCTGATCTCAATGATGTATCCCTTGACGCGGTTCTTTGGATCCAAGACGGCGTTCCATTGGACATCAAGAGCATTTGCACCATCTGGGGTTACGGTTGGCATTGTTCCAACAACTGGAATGTTGAATGGATCTGTGGTGTAACGAGTCCAGATTTCTCTTCCGAATCCTTGTTTGGTTCCAGCAGAAATCGAGATGTTGTAAGAGGTTTCTGGATTCAAATCTTCAAAGAGATGAGTCAAAGTTGGATGATTGACAACTTGAGTTCTCTTCTTATCGTTGACATCATCAAGAGAAACAATCGAAACACGATATTGGGTAACGTATCCCTTTGGATCGACTGGTGGAATCCATCTTATATGAAGAGAGTGATCAGTCTTCTCAATGAGATGAATGGCTCTTGGAGCGTCTGGAAGAACTTGAAGAGTGTTGGCAATGACCAAGGAAGACCATGGTCCGTAGCTTCCTCCTTCGATTCTCGTAGCAACTTGAACCTTGAACTGCTGTCCAGACTCCAATCCAGTAGCATTATAGCAGAAGCGTGGACTTTCTCCAGGACACTTGAGAAGTGGATCCTTGACTCCCTTCTCATTCTCAATCCAGTTTTCAGATGGAATCTGTTGATAACGGATCTTGTAAGCGTCATGTGGTCCGTATGGTGGGTATGGTGGGAGCCATGAAACCATGAAGAAGTCAGTTCCTTCTTGAGCAACAACCAAGTCTTGTGGTGGGAGTGGAGCTTGTGCCTTGGCTGTCATGACAACCAAGTTCTCTGTGTTCGGTCCTCCTCCGATTGAGTTGTAGGCCTTGACTCTCATGACGTATTTGGTGTATGGGGTCAATCCATCGATAGTGACACGAAGATCAGAGGTGTTAGCGATTTGTCTCTCGAGTTTAGCCCAGTCATCTTGTCCAAGAATCTCGTATTCGTAGTTGACAATGTGTCCGTGTCTTTGAGAGCAATCAACTGGCTCCCATTGGAAGGACAGAGAACGTTCAAGAGCATAGGTAGATTCCAAGTTGAGTGGTGGAGACGATGGTGGTTGTTGTTCAGTAGACACCTCTTTGGTCTCCTCTGGTCCCAATTCAGTGGTTCTAGCTCTGACACGTACTTCATAAAGAGAGTATGGCAAGAGTCCAGTGATGGTGTAGTCAAGATCTTTGTGATTGTAAACAGTGACAAAATCTCTGCTGACATCTCTTGGTTCCTCTTCTGGACAGGCGAGACGATGCTTCAGACGGTAGGAGATGTCGTATCCGACAATTGTTCCACGTTGAACAAGTGGAGCAAGCCATTGGACATGAACCTCATTTGGTGAGAGAGCCTTGACACGGAGATCTCTGACGGATCCTGGAGCTCCTTGACGAGTGGTGATGGATTGTTCTGGAGACCATTGACTGGATCCAACTTGGTTGGTGGCACGGAGCTTCACAACCCAGCGTTGGTTTGGCTCGGCTGGGAAAGTGTACTCGGTTTGATCTCCTGGAACAGTCAGAATCTTCTCTGGCTGGTTTCCAACTCTGTAGCTAATCTCAACATTCATTTGATCACACATCCAGGTGTTCTTAGCTGGGCGAGCCCATGATACTCTGACTTCGTTGGTTGATGGAGCATCGACACGAACTCCTTGTGGTGGGGAAGTTGGTGGAGAGCATTTGGTTCTGGCACGAACTTCGGGGGAGGGGTTGCTCTGTTCGTTTTGTTGAGAAACAACACGAACTCTCAGATCGACGACAGCGTTAGTTGGAAGTCCATCGACAGTAGCGGTGTAGGTGGTCTGAGATGGATGAGCTGGAATACGACGGTTGTATTGTTGCCAGGCTCCTCCTTCGAGACGATATTCAACTATGAATCCACCAGCCTCACGGTTACGAGATTCCCATTCGATGGTAATGGAAGTTGGTTCTTCAGCAATGACTCTTGGAGCCATGGAGAGAGCGGTGAGAGCAGCTGCATCAGTGGTCATAACAGCGGCGGTTCCTCCACACATTTCTTTGTGAGTGGCAGCGGAAACAGTCACATTGTAGGTGGTTCTTGGACGCAAGTTGTCAATTCTGTATTGGTAAGTGGCACGATCCACGTTGAAGGTTTGGGCTCTTTGAGATCCGTCTTGTGGAACAACGACAATCTTGAAAGCAGTGACTCTGTTCTTATCATCTGGACGAACATCCCAGTTAATATGAAGAGAGTTTTCAGATCCTCCGATCTTTCTGACGTACAAAACTTGGACAGCAGAGTCAGTGACCTTAGTTCTCTCTGGTGGTGAATACGGTCCCCATCCGGAGTCCTTGACGTGAGCGGAAACTTGGAAGTCATAGGTCTGTTCTGGCTTCAAGTTCTCGATTCTTCCACAGTGAAGTCTGGCTCCTGGTGGCGATTGTGGCAAGTTTTGTCTCTCGATTTGGCGTTGTTGGCATGGTGATACAGCTGGGAATTGACGTTCTTGGAATTGCTGTGTTCCGGTTGGAGCATATCTGCACTTGTACTTATCAACATATCCTGGATTTGGATATGGAGATTGCCAGACGAGTTGAGCATTGTTTGCTCCGGTGTGAAGAACCTTGACGAATCCTGGAGCTTGAACATTCTGTTGACCAGCAGATGTTTGGAATGGAACTTCCGTTGACCATGGTCCAGGTCCGCGAGCAGTGTAAGCACGAACTTTGACGTTGTAGCGAGTTTGTGGTTGAAGGTTTTCGATTCTGGCACGAGTTCCACGGATGTTCTCAGTGGTCTTCTGAACAGTTTGACGACGATCTCCAGCAGTAACTTCATACTCGTATTCAGTGATTTCTCCGTTAGTTTGGAGACATGGTGGGGCTTGCCAGGAAATGCTGACATCAGTTGGACGGATCTCTTCAGTACGAAGGTACAATGGAGCACCACCTGGAGCAGCTTGATCAGTTTGGATCTCAAGAGAAACACGCTCTCCAGCTCCGACATCAGACTTAGCGGCAACTCCAACACGGTATTTGGAATGTGGGTGGAGTCCTGTGATGGTGAAGTGTGACCCGTTGACAGTGATGGTACGTGGAGCTTCTTGGTTGTTGTCACAGTTTCCTCTGGAGATGAGTTGATAGGTGACTTCATATTGAGTGATTCTTCCATTTGGATTCATTGGTGGTTGCCAACTGCATTGAAGAGAATCTGGTCCGATTGGTTGAACACGGAGATTAGCAACAGCTCCTGGAGCCACTCCTTGGGTTTGGGCAGATTGAGCTCTAGAGAATTGGGATTCTCCGGCTGGGTTGGCGGCTTGAACTTCGAAGTTCCATTGGGTGTAGGGATCGGAATCGAAGACAACAAAGTTTTCTCCATTCGTCAAGTTCTTGAATCCTTGATTTTGTGGAGTAGAATACTTGACAATGTACCACAAACGATCGCAATTCCATTCGGATTCGTGAAGTGGAGCCCATTGAACACGGATTTGGGTTGGTCCAAGTGGTGAAACTTGAACGTCAGCTGGAGCTCTTCTTGGGGCTTTGCATTGAGATTGGGTTTGAACTTGCACAACCGAAGAAGTGTAGGCGTTTCCTCTGTTTGGATCCTTTGCAACAATTCTGACTTGGTAGGTATGTCCTTGTGGAAGCTCTCCAAGATCCACAGAATATGGACGTTGCCATCCATTGTATGGAATTGGGTTACGATGTTGTCTCCAGTTCTGTTCAGTGGTTGCCTTCCATTCCAAAACGAATGATTCGATAAGATCGTTGGTGTGCTCTTTGGATCTCCATGAAATGATTGGTTTTCCTTGACGATAGTTGACATCTGGACCAATAATCAATTCACCTCCTGGTGGTGTTTTAGCCTGTGAAGCTGGAGTCCATGCAGAGTGTCCAGCAGAGTTGATGGCACGGATCTTAACAGACCACATTTGGTTTGGAGCAGAGTTGAAAATATGAGAAGTTTGATGGCTTCCTAGAACGACGGCTGGTTGTCCACGTGGTTCTTCTGGTTGGATCTCGAATTGAATATCAGAACATCCCCATGTGGATTGTGGTGGAAGAGCCCAGGAGACACGAACGTGGCTGGCATCTGGAGCGGCGACTTGGAGATGGGATGGAGTGTGTGTTGGTGCTGAAAATATATATGATTGAATGTTTTGAATGAAATGAAAACTCACGAGAGCAGCTGCTCTTGGCACTTGATTGAGCAGAAGTGTACATGACATAAGAGTTACGATCCAAAACTTGAACATGAATGAAATAAGCATTTCCTCGTTCAAGTCCAGTCAACGTTTGGGTGTATTCCATGTTGTCTCCAACGTATGGAACAAGTTGTCCATAGGTTTTCCATCCAGAGTTTTCACTGCGGAATTGAACATGATATCCATAGACACCACGTCCTTCTCCCTCGGACTTCCACTTTACAATCAAATCATTGTCTTGGGCAAGGACTCGTGGAGTGGAAACGAGAGCTGAAAATTTCAGAGTTTTTGAGTGAAACTGAAAAGGAGAAGTTGTTAGAGTAGAAGTCGAACTCATGCGCAATTCTTTGGTTTTCGGAGAAAAATCAAAAGGTTTTAATTTAAAGGCTTTTGGAGTTGTTGAATTCAGAGAATTATTTGTTTTATAGTTACATCATCTAATGGTAGGGGTGAAACAGAAAATGGAATTCTAGTTAATTTTGCATTCGGAACTGAAAAGTAGCATGTTATCAGAGGTTTAAAGGGTAATTAACGGTTTTTAGAGTTTTACAGTTCGTTATGAAAATATAGAAGAGAAGTGGAAAATTGAGGAGAGGGTTGTTTCAAAATGATAAACCAAGCACCACACACGGTTTACTGCACCTTCACCAGAGTCCGTTGCTCTGAGTGGCGAGTTTGAGAATTGCCCTTGGCACCAGAAATCAGTTCTTGGATCACAAACACTGCGCTTTTGGCGGGTTGCTGTATGAGAATAGAGTTTTGAAAAAGAAAAATACATAAAATTGATAAAAATCATGACATGACATCACAAGAGAATCTGAATTTGGAAAAACAGGAGGTGGGAATAACTTACATTGTTGAGCAGTTGATGAGAAGATGGCGTCACGAGATGGAGTTCCAGATCCAGCAGTGTTCACCCCACGAACCTAAAATACTTATTTACTTTGAAAGCTTTTTAAAATTTGGTTCTAAAGCCTCTTACCTGAACTCTCCAGTCTCCTTGGGAAGATCCAGAGATATCGACACTACGGTCGCTTCCTGGAACTCTTTGGTTGATGGATTGTCCGTTTTGTTTTCCTGTGATGAAGAAGTACGATTGGCAGTCTCCACTTTCCTGACTGGATTCCCAAGAAACACGGACGGTTTGGTCAGAAACACGTTCCAGACGAACGTTCTCTGGGGCAGATGGAACTGAAATTGCTTTTAAAAATTAGACGGATCCTCAGTTTTTGATCCTCACCTTGACACAAAACAGAGAAAGATGCGGATGGTGAAGTGGCAACAGTCGATCGGGATGAATCCAAAGCACGTACTCTCACCAAATAAGTGGAAGCGACGTTGAGTTGACCCAATGGAAGACGGTAGTGTGTCTGAGATTGTTCGTTCTCAACCGATGGCTCAACGGCTCTCCATGATCGTTCGTCGGTCGTTCGGATGTCGACTTGGTATTCGGCGACAGTGGAACGGTCTCCGATCACTGACCAATACGCAACAGATCGGGAAGCCGACTGTTCGATTCGTGGTTGAGTGATTGTGACTCCTTGGGTGTTGGATGATGCGGATCCATCTAGAAATCAAGTTTATCAAGAACTGTTAATTGAGAATTCATTAATGTTAGTACCAAGTTGAACTAGAGTGAAGTGCAATGGGTTACTGGATGGTAGTTCTTCTCCGTTGGTTAGTTGATACGATATCTGTTAAGAATATATTCACTCGGTTAGTCTTTTTCATTCAAATTACACTGCTTATGTAATGAACTCCAAAGAATAGTCCCTTCAATTGATAACAGTAATCTTCTGGATCAGCAATTCCACGTGGGCACTCGAAGTGATCAGGTCCTCCGACCAATTTGATCCATTTATTGGAGCTAACTTCCTTGTACATCAATCTATTTGAAATTAAATATGTGTTAAACATTTCACAGCTACACAAACTTGAATTTACTTATTATCTGAGAATGTAGTGTTAACGGTGTCCATACAAGATAAGAACATGGTGGCGAGAGAACGATTCGCAACTTAAAAATATTGAGTGGATCTATAAAAGAAGAGCTAAGGGTTAGAGGAAAATCGGAAAATTTGTAGAAACAAACCTTTGATTAAGTGTTTAGCTTGTCGCTTCACTCTTAGAAGCTGGTTAAGTTCTCCCAGTTCTCCTGTTAAAAAGTTATAGAGATTAGAATTCAAAGAACACAGTTAGAATGATAGGAAAGTTGATGTTTGTATCAAAAAATCAGAATTAGAGATAGTTATGAAAACACACAGTCATAGTGAAGACGTTGAAGTTTAAACTTAGTGTCAGTATTTTTACCTGATGAGACACTTCCGGCGATTGCGGTCTCGATGATCACATCCTTACTCCATTGAGAATGTCCATTCACACTTCTGGATCTTACTTTGAACGTGTAATCAACATTCTGTCTCAATCCCCTAATGATGACATGTGGAGCTCCAACATAAGATGCTCCTTTGGCTGGAGCATTTTGAGAAGCTTCGTAGACAATGTATTCATATCCATCAATTGGGGTATGAGTCTCATCACATTGTGGTACATCCCATTCGAGCTTGATGGATTCAGAATCAACATCGGTGGATCTGATGTTAGTTGGAACTCCAGCAGATCCGACGCAAGATGACTCGGCGGCTTCTCCAACGGTAAGTTCTTCGGTTCTGGCGACAACTTTGTTTTGGTCATCAATAGCAACAATTCTAACGGTGTAATATGGTGCAGTCATTTGAGAAAGAGCCACGGAATAGTCTCCGGATCCCTCAGCTACTCCTTTCTGTTCACTGGTTCTCCATGTGGTCTCATTTGGAAGTCTGTACTCCAAAATGAACTTGCTGACAGTGATCGAGGTAGCTGGAAGTTTCCAGTGAACTGCGAACTGTTGTTTTCCTTGATCAACGACTTGTGGTTTCTCTTCCCAGCTTTCAATTCCTCCGGATGTGGTGTAAGCCTCAATTTGGTAGACCTGCTTTGGTTCATGGTCCACAAAAGCGATGACTCCAATGGTGTATTTGGTGCTTGGGCGGAGTCCGGTAAGAGCAAAAGAGCTAAGTGCTGGCTCGACACGACGGCGCTCGACCCGTCTTGAGTCTTCATCAACCTCCACGGCGGTGACCTGGATCAATTAAATTGAAAAAATGAGAAAATAATGGTCTGTCTTACCTCGTAATGTTGAAGTCTAGGATCCATGAATGGTTGCCAGCTAACACGAAGTTCCGAATCGGTACGGTAGAGAAGTTGAATGGCATTGGAAATCGGAAGGGCGTCTCCCTTGGTCTTTGCCTCTAGAACTTCCGAATTCCATGGTCCAACATTGCGGCTACGATCGACAGCACGCACTTTGACACTGTAGAATGTGCCTGGCAAGAGATTGGTGACAGAGACATGCGGCTGAGTAACAGTTTGTCTGTGAACATCGAATGGAGCAGAGACACCAGTCAATTCAACTTGATAGTCTCCAACGACACCGCAGTCTGGAACATCCCATTTGATGGCAAGAGAGTATTGAGCGACTTCTGTGACTACTGGATAACGAGGAGCAGTCAAGTCATCTGAAATTCAAGAAATTAATGTAACATCAACTTTTTCATACTCCTTACCATTTTCACACTTAATGGACACAATTTCATTGTGGGCACGAATTTCGGGAGTCTCGACAAGAACCTCATTATTCTCACCGATAACCTTGATACGGACGAGATAAGAGATTCCGGTCGGTAGTTTTGGTATCTGTACACGGTACTGATGGTTCGGTCCCTTGTACGGAATGATTCCCGGGTGCAATTGCCATTCTCCACTTCTTTCCGGGCGGTATTCGACGAGGAATCCTTTCACTTCTGAGTCAGCGTGATCTCCTGAAAGTATTTGGGTGAATTCGGTTAGATAAAATAGAAGATGTACCAGTTTGAATTCCTTCCCATTCGACTGTGAGAAGACTATCTGTTCCACTTTGGCGTTTAACTCTGACGTCTGAAAAATTCAAAGTTCTAACTTTTCAAAACTTTCTCTTTTTATATCTTTTTCTGCCCTCTGACCAAAACCAATTCTTTAAAAACCTAAATCCCCTAGTAAATGTCATGTAATAAAAAAGTCAAGTTCTGTTCAGATTCGTATCGTCTGATGCAGATTAATTGCTCAACGTGCTGGCTCGAAAACATAATATGAATCTTTTTAATTGCGGTATTTAGAACTTTCTTTAATCAGAAAATTAGGTTCTGAAATTGATTTCAACTGAAAGTTTTGAAACAAAAGTAAACAAGGGTCTGAGTCAGATTAATAATTACACTCTCATAGAAGGTCACCCCACTTTGAGCCAATATATCTCGGTTCCTGTGAAAGATGTCAAAAAGTTGTCAACTGACAAAATGTTTATCATAATATCAAAAAATATTTTGTCAATTGACAACTTTTTGATATCTTTCACAGAAATCGAGATATATGAGCTCAAAGTTGGCGGTTTGGGTGGTCTTCTATTAGAGGGTTTACGGTAAATGCTTTCCTCTGAATTCTACACTCCCATTATCAGTACCATAACTCCGGTCTGCTAACAGTCTTATTGTGTGAAGTTTGGTACAAAATACAGGCCAAAATGTGTCGAATGTTAGTCATCCCTTACACAGGGTAACAGTCTAAAAACCGGTGATGACCGCAAACTGAACGTGTGTTCTGTCTGACTAGGTGGTCAGTTTCATACTAGTTTTTTCGTAATATTCAAAGCCAAAATATTGGAGACTTACTGGAGTTTAATGCTACACTTGCTACTGTAAATAACTGAAGATACCATATCCCGAGGGAGAGGAGAAGGAGACCCCTCGAACGGAGACCCATCCTAGTGAGAAGTCCTGGAAAAAAACAGTGATTGATGGCAAAAAAAAGTGATAAGAAGAAAAGAATGTGAAAACAGGAAATACATAATAATCGAAAGCAAAACCGTTTAGTCCATCCAAGTCAAAAAGGGAAAATTGAGGAAAAGGAGAAGAAGAAGTGGAAGGAGAATTATTTGATACCGGTGGAGGGGGGGGGGGGCATGAATCAAAACTACATAGTAGATTAAATGGATCTAGTAGCAGTACCAGAACAACCATTCTTTTTTTTCTGTGTTCGTTTTTTGGGAGGGCATTGTTTATTGTCGAATAAGCAGCGATAATTGGGTAAGGGAGGAGGACAACGGGAAATGAAACTTTTGACGAGATTTGGTTGTACACGGATTCAAAATGTTTGAAGAGTTTCAAAAGTGACAGGAAGTGGGAGAACCGGTGTTTGATGGGATGAAAAGGGAAATGGAGGCGTTATGATAAGAATAACAAAGTAAGATAGGGATATGATGAAGATAAAATCAATTATTCCGAACCATTCCCTTATAAGAATCAATCACAATCGTCGTTGAGACATGCAAAAAAAGAGTCAACGGGCGGCAACACAACACAACTTCTTCTTCTTATTTCGCCCCCTATCTCCATCCCCTTCGCTTCTCGGTCCAACATCATCTCAACAGTGATTTAGAATAGAAACCCTTTTCCCTATCTCCAGGGCGCGAGAAGTCAACGAAATAGCATATAAGACGAAGAGACGCAGAGTCTTTGGGTCGGGCGGTATGTGGCCAAGAAATTTAGGGTGTGGTTTTCGTTGGGAGAGAAGAAGTAGTATGGGGGCAAGAAAACCGTTTTCAGTTATGATTTTTTTTTCTCCATCTCTTCAGTTTTGTTGTGAAGAAGACGTCGAAGAATAAGATGAAGACGTTGTGTGTGTGTGTGTGTGTACGGTGGGAATTGGGTGGAGTTCTATATAAAACACCAAAGAGCGAGGAGAGAAAGAGTGAGAAACGATAAGTTTAGATATGGCTAGGTGATTAATTGAACCTGAGATGATGAGAATAGAGATGGAGTCGTTTTCCAAAAGTGACATATGGGGTTGAGAAATATTTGAGAAGAAGAAGAAGAAAGTGTTACAGTAGGAATGATGATAGGGTTTAAAAAAGGATTGTCCTGGGAGGAAGAAGGAAAAGAAGAACTTTCAGTGTAACCGTTGATAGTAATTCGGGAGAAGAGAATAAAAATAACAAAAAGAAGAAAATGGTAATGTCAGGGCCGATGAAGATAGTGAAAAAGAACTGAAATCGTGGGTAGGAATAGATTTATAGATTCGAAAATTTAATTTTTGGTTCATAAGGAGCAAAATAATCCTCTAAAAATATGATTCCCCAACTATGTTTTCTGAGGGACCAAAACTTTAAATGTACTACATATTCTCTAATACACCAGAGGCTTCAACACCGTAACTGTGACTTGATTTACCGTAAACACTATAATATAATAGAACGCCACCCCCCCCCCTGACCGTCAGTTTTGAGCCCATTTATCTTGGTTCCTGTGAAAGATATCGAAAAGTCGTCAACAAAAAAATATATCTAATTATAAAAAGTGTTGTATCTGTTGATCACTTTTTGGTACCTTTCTCAGTGACCGAGATAAGTTGTCTGTAAGTGGAAAGTTGAGGGGGAGGGGCGCTGTATTAGAGTGATTACGACATTTCGGCTAGTAAAAATATGTACATCAGAAAATGATAATCTTATAAAATTGAACTGGCTGTTCTTAAATATTTTTTGCAGTTATACATGTATCTTTCCAATCTTTGAGCTACAGTCTTCTTGAAGGGGTCTGTGAAATGTTCGGAAGGCGCCCCAGCTCCAGTATTACTAAATTGAATGATGTCCCAATTAAAATTGGAAAATGAAAATTGGATGAGAATTCTGTAAACTTTTTGTAAAAAATAAATAAATGGAAAACCAGAAGCTTTGTATTTCCGTAATCATCCGAGAAATCAAATATGCAAAGCTTCAAGTTTTCAATTCATTTCATTTTGGAACTTTAGTATACGACTTCTGCAAATGAACTAAAAAATTACAGTACTAACTAATTTAACCACAAACACCATTAAACCTTCCAGATGCTAACCAATCAACTTTTTCTACAGTATAAAAAAAGAAACACTACGAAAGAAACTGAATATTTTGGCTATGAGTGTACCTTTTTAAGGAAATGTTCTCTTTTTTCCCCCAAATGAAATCAGTACCACACCCACACATCTCTGGTTTTTTTTTCCTCTCGCGCCCCTATATAATTCAATGTTTTATTCTCATTTATTTGCCAGACATTCTCTATGACTAAGAGGTCAATGTTTGCATTCAGTTCTCAATCAACGCCCTGCTGCAATATTATTATTATTAGGAGGAAGAAAAAATGAGGGATCCGATTACAGAAACTATAAAAAAATAGACTTCCATCTTTTTTGGGCTAGCCCACAAACGCAACAAAACCTAATTGCTTTCGCTTTGATATCGGAAGAAAAGTGAAATCCCGGGAAAGGAAAGAGAACGGTAAGAGGCATCTGAAGAAAAAGAAAAAGCAGAAGCAGAAGAAGAACACACTGCTACTGTTTATGCAAATTTTCATCAGTGATGGGAAGGGATGGGATGGGAAGAAGAAGTGAAAAGTAGAGGGAGAAAAGTTTTCAAGGATGCTGATGATGCCTGATCCACTGATGCGAAATAGCATAGGAAGAAGAGACTGGAATGTGTCGGAGGTCCTACTCGTGCGCAGAAGAAAAGAGAGAGATTGAGACCCATTATTTGATACAAATGTGCGAAGAAGCGACGATCAAGGTGGAAAAGAGAATCGAAGATGGAATATAAAAATGAAGAAGAAGGAGAAAACGATTGAAATGGGATAAAAAACGGATGGATGATCGAAACCGTTTCGAAAGTTGCGCAGAAATGGAAAAAAACAGTTTGATTCAGGAAAAGTTATAGGTGTTGAATGGCGGAAAGAAAAGAGAACATATGGAAATGGACAACTAGAGTATTGAGATAGAAGTATATGATTCAAGTTGGAAAAAAGAGACAGTCTGGCTGACCTACATCCTCTAATAAACCTGCACCACGAACCATTTCTTAGAACCTCATCTATTTCAGTTCTTCTTGGAGCTGTCGAAACATCTTCAACTATTCAAATGCCTTTGAAAACCTTGAATTATCAATTAGAAAAAATAAGGTATCCACTATCAATTTTAAGATGACCGAAACTCGTTTTGAGAATTCAAGATGCCGTATTTTCTCTAATAGAAGACCACCCAGCTTTAAACTCAATTATCGCAGTTCCTTTGAGAGATATCAAAAAACTGTCAACTGATAAAATATTAGTGATTTTATGAAAAATAACTTATTAGTTGACAAATTTAGTTTGACAAATTTTTATTTTTTTAGAGAAAAGGACAAGTTGTTGTTTTGTGTCCTAGAATTTAAAAAAGAGTTTTGTTGTATTCAAAAATACATTTTGAATTGAAGAAAATCAAGAAAATAGCGAAGAAAGTTTATTCTACGGAGCAGAACAGCTTCAAAGAAATGAATAAGTGAATAGAATGATTCTGAATCTAGGAACCTCGAAAAAAAACTGAAAGCAATACTATTCTAACAAGAAAAGTATTTTGGAAACTTATTTTTGTTCACCCATCTTCTAAAAGACTACCTTCGAAATGTTGCTCTAAAAAGAACCACATGATATAGTAAAGGAAAAAAAGTTTACAGAACTATATGAAGACGAAAATCAAATATGGACTGTCCAAAAAACAAACACAAATTTGAAGTATAAAATACAGTTTTTGGTCATTTTAAACTTTCTAACGGTTTTGTGAAAAAAAAACTTTTTAAAAGTTTCAGAAGCATTGCTATTAGAGCACCTGGTTAGAATTTCAAATTTAGATAACGCCTCAACGTCATTTGATTTCTGGAATTCAAAAAATTCAGAACAGAAAGGAAGAATGCAAAGGACCAAGCATCGTACTTAATTGTATCGAATAGTGTGAAGAAATAGTGCGAAAATAAGAAAAAGAGCAAAAAGGCGGCAAGTTCAAAATGCTTACAGTCATAAATACAGAGAGAGTGTGAGACGTTTTGTGTGGAGGTAAATAAATAAATAAATGGGAGGGGCAAAATCGAAGAGAGAATCAGACGCCCAGAGAACAAGAGAAATCAGAATCGTATCAGGGAATAAAAAAGGAGAGAATGAGACAGAAAAGGAGAACGCAAAAGTAGTACAATCAATTCTTAGGGGGGCTCCAAACGATGTGTTAGTGAAAAAAAAAAGAGAAAAAGGAGAAAAAAGTTTGTTGATAAGTGATGGGGATGATAAGCAAAGACGGCATTTTGAAACCGGGTGGCAGCAGATGAAGAAGTGAGACATTTTTGAAACACCCGCGCGAAAAAAAGATGCCATTTCCATCATCATCAGAATCAGGCAACAACCATTAGAAGAAGCGTGTTTGTTGATGATGGGAAATTGGATGTTTATGATAAAATAAATTAGATCATCACAACTTCTCAGAAGACGTGGAAGGGGTGAGACAAGAAATGAAATGAATAGGGAGGGTACTTTAAAAGAGAATAAATGAGAATAAAAGGGGATGAGTAATAGCAGTAAAACGGATAGTGTCGACCTTGCCTGGAAGGGTTGAACACCATTTTTCGAAGCGAAAAAAGGGGCGTGGCACATCCGAAGATAGCCATCATGGGTCATCATGAAAATGAATTCATCAGCAGCCCCTAGGCACCTCCCAGATGAACCAACATGATAAAACAATTTGAAAAAACACAGAGAGGGATGATTCTGTTGTCGAGAAAGAGAAGATCCGATGGGATTCGCAAAAGGGCGTGGTGCCTTCTTCTCGTCAAGATGTACCTGTGTATGTGTGAAGAAGAAGAAGACGACAGAAAAAGAAGGCGGGTTTGCTTCTTCTTCTTCTATTCGGTTTTGTTGTATGTTTGGGGAGGGGTG